AACATCTGTTTCACAAAAATCGTAGATTTGTCGGCATATCTGGGTAAAGACTGATGGTTATTTACGATTTCACTGACTTCGTATGATCATACTAAAACACTTTGAATTTATAATATTATCAAGTCGAAAACGACAGGCAAAAACGGTACGGTATCTTTAAATACGTTGTGCAAGTCTTCATGTATTCATATATTCAAATACCGTTTCTTTTTCATAAACTATATATTATAAATAAAACATTTACTCGGTTACCTGTATTAAAAAATAATAAATAAAATCTTTGGTAAATTTAACAACCTATATAAGCTTTGAAGTTTTTGCATACCTTCCTAATATAAGTATTATATTTTCTTGTTCTTATATATTCCTTACGCATTTCTAGATATTTTTGCATTATCACAACAATATGTACTAAAATCAGATAGGTGCATGTGCGTAATGCATATCTGCAATGAAAAATGACAGCGAATAGCGCAAGTGTAAAAAAATCGTCAATCGTGCACTACACATAACGAGAGAATACGATGAAATCATTGCTTTCTACAGGTTTTTATGTCTCCGTTGATTATGTGTAGAACAGCCAGTCAATAAAAATTTGATCATGTAATTTATTATGAGTCTCAGATCCTGCTTTCCGATATAAATCAACAAAATTTATAACATCCGATTATGAGATATAGTCTAATCATATTAGACGAAAACACCTTTGGTTTGCGAAATAATTGTAAAGTCTGGTTTTATTGATGCAAGTTGTTCAGGGGGGTATTTAAAACATGGACGTATAAAAGGGGCACACCAATTTTTGTGGGAAAACTTTTTGTTCGACAACAAAGAGTGAGAAAACGTGTTTATTGGGATTTAATCGAAAGTGCTGGCAGGAACGAAAAACTCTTCAAATAACATTTTTAGGAATTTATGAGACCTACAGAGATCCCACTAATAGTGAAAAAGTTATGGCCGAAAACCGAGGCAAAATGCATGTTGATATTTGTCTACTGTGTTTTTCATTTTCTCGAGTTTATTTTTCCACATTTTGAACTCGCTAGTCGTTTTAATCGTAAGAGATGACGTATACTATATTTATAATTTTAGAAAAAAGGTCCAGGAAATTTACCTTTTCATCGTAAATAAGCTGGATTACGTGACCTACTTATTGTCATAAGTCATGCAGTCATCAATAATGCAGCCATTTAGCACATGCTACATACTAACTAGTCTTAGACAGTTTGAAACAAGTGTAGTAGCAGAAAGATTTATTTAACACATAGAATAATTGTAAACAACTTAGAATTAGGAAATTCAAGCCATATGATGTATGATGTAAATGCTGGTCAAGCTATAATTGTTGATTTAACAAGTGATTCCTCAATTTTGTCAAAGTTCTCTGGTCTTTTATCTCTGTGTATAATTTATTATATTCAATCAACCCTTGATGGAATACAGATTTGTAACCTATGTTATACTTTTTGGTCATTAAATGGAAGTCATCTTTATTTCTGGTATTATGTAAATGATGGTCGACATTTGATGATGTTAAATTAGTTAGACTTGATGGAAATATATTATTTTTTACTTCAAAAATTTTACATTGAGCCATTTTAATGTGCTAAGCACTTGTCTAATTGGAAAATATTTATCTTTATTCAGTATTATTCTCGTGCACTTATTTTGTAAAATTTGCAGTCTTTCAAAAATGGAATTATTTGCTAAATATAGAATAGTCGAACAGTACAAGAAATTTGGAAGGATGATGGTATTACGAGTATAGATAATTTGTCTGCTATATGAACTCAGACATCCACAAACTCTTGATAAATATCCCACTCTACTACTAACCTTATTTGTAACATTTTCATATTGAATATCAAAAATTAATCGAGAGTCAACAAAAGGTAATTAAAATTTTCTATGAATTCAATATCTTCACCATCAATATATAGTTGTTAACATTTGTACATTGCTTTTTTCCGATTAACATAGCTTTCGTTTTACTTGTATTTAATTTAAGTCTGTTAGATGCTAACCATTTTGAGACAAGTTTCAAGTCTTCATTTATATAAGAGATACCAGTCTGAAGATTTTTAGTACTTATATAAATCATTGTGTCATCGGCGAAAATCTGAATTTTGCATTTGTTGACTATGGCAGGTAAATCATTTATGTATAAAATAAAAAGAAGTGGTCCCAGGATACGCCCTGTGGAAACACCCAACGTATTTCAATTTTTGATGAAATGTCATTAACTTTTGTGCATCCTTTTAGACAAATACTTTCTAAACCAATCTAAAACACTTATATACCATATGCCTTCAATTTACCTAACAAAATATCTCTATCAATCGTTTCAAATGCCCTCTTCAGATTCAAAAATACTGCTATGACAACTTCTGAGTCAATCGCTCTTCTCCAATTCTCAGTTACCAACTGGAAAACCGTTTCATTTCAGAGAGAGAAATATTTTTTAAAACTTTAAGGGTCATCTGTGACCGTGTAAAAATTTCAGCTCTAAATATGAAATATGTATACACAAGAGTATGAAGGAATCTTAAAAGAAATTTTTTTCTTCCCAACAAAAGGCGATGGACACATTCGCTTTGTTTTAAAATGTGTATAGTAACATATGTTTTTCGAATATCGTAGCTAATCTGTTCAATTTCTTACGAATAGAAAATGTTTGAATTTGATTAGAAGAAAGAAAAACGTAACCCTTAGTTTTTCGCATAAAAATAACAATTATCTTTCGGAATGCCTTGCGATTCAAGTCGGCAAGGTATCTTGCTATAAAATACTAGTATATTAAGCATAGCGGTGTTTTGGGATAAACAATTAGAAATTCTCAAAAACTACTTGACCAATCGACTCCGATTTTGTTATGGTTATTTAGAAGTAAGAAGACTCCGGAGAATTTCAAGTAGCTGCGTAAAATTATTGTCGCATTAGCAACCAATGCCAAAAACCTGCATTTTGCCTCGTTTTTCGGCCATAACTTTTTTACTCTTAGTGGGATTTTTTTACGCGTAGTCTCTATTTGAAGAGTTTTTTCGTTGCTGCCAACAACTTGCATCAATAAAACCAGACTTTACAATTGAAGACTTCGGTGCAAAAAGGTGTTAACTCAGTTTTTTCGTTTTTTGAGATTTTTGGATTCAGAGATTCATGAAAGTGTTAACTATATCAAAAGCTTCAATCTGTGAACTTAAAAAGGTGTTAACTTTTGTGTTATAGGTAAAAAGGTATTAACTCCTGAGTTAACACCTTGTTGCACTCAAATTCCAATTTGTTGTCGTTTGAACACGTTTCGTGAGAGGTTTGGTTTTTCTATTTCCTGCAATATTTGGACTGTTTTTCAAATGGATAAGGTCTGTAAAGTTTTAGTATTTTATTGGACTGTGAGATTACGTAGCACAATTAATTCAGTTTTTGTTTGAAAGGTAAAAATGAGCCTTCTAAAATTGCACAGCATACATAACCTCAAAATTATTTGCTCTTTATTTATTGCAGTTTTTGTATTTTAGTTTACAAATAGAACTAGGAGAATATTATTTGCTTGTCTTTCACAAAGTCCCCTCGATGATTATTTGTCAGATGACCCAGAGGAGCCATATAGAAGCTCAGGGTCGGAGTATTTACCAGGTAACATAATTTTTGTAATATTTAATTGCCCAAATATTTTTTTCACTTTTTTAAGGTGATCGATATGTTTTTGCAGGTTTTACTAAAAACTGTTTAACACATTTTTAGGAGACGAAAGTGATGATAATGGTGTTCTGTCTAAGAAATGCTTCAAAAATTGTCTGCATGAACCCAACAACGACGGCGACGATACATTTACACCACACATGCAAGTAATGAATAAATGAATAACTTTTATTCAGTATAAAGAATTTTAAATACTGGCACAAGGATTCCAAAGTTTTACAACCTGTTTTACTGGATATGTCGGCTGTAAAGATTAATCACTTATATTTTTAGGTGATTCCGAAACCGATTCAGACAATGAACCGCTTTTCATAAAAAAAGCTAGAATCTAGACTCAGGCAAACAAGGAAGCTCCTGGACATGATGTGCTGCAGCTAGGCATAACAGAAACGGTACCAAATAATGAAAGTCCACTTGAGGATGAGAATAAACAAAAAAAGTCCAGAAAACGAAAATCTCTTCCAAAACCATGGAAACGTTATGAAAATAAAGAGAACAAAAATAAAGGAAATGCATATAAAACTTATAAAGGTATTGATATTGAGGCAAAAAATCCTTGTATTGGAAAACGTTGGAAAGAAAAATGTCGCTTAAAGTGTGACAGCAGGTTTTCAAACGAAGAAAAGGTGCGTCTATTTGAAGAGTATTATTCATTAGATCAAAATGCAAAAAATGCTTATCTATTTGGAATAATGGAAGCATACAATGTTAAACAGCCCTCTGGACTTCATAGGCATCGCCAGAAGTCATTCAGGTATTCTTTCAAAGTAGGAGGAGATAGTCGGCGTGTGTGTAAGGAAGCAGTTATGTCTATATTAGATGTTGGACGTAAAAAGCTAGATTTAATTAGAGATCAAGTATCTAGTGGTAGATCTGCCCCTAAGCGAGATGGAAGAGGCCACCATAATAGCAGACCCAGAAAAACTTCCGAGGAAAAGCGCAATTTCGTTCATAGGCACATTAGATCATTTCCTTCTGAAGTATCTCATTATTCTCGAAACAAAAATCCGAACCGACTCTGACTAAATGAATGCTTTGTATGTAGAAGAGTGTGCAAACGAAAATATCGTTCCGTATCTACCTTTACATATAGACAAATTTTTGTCAATGATTTTAATTTTGGATTTGGTTCTCCAAAGACTGATACATGTGCAGTTTGCGATGTAGGATCAAATGAGGAACATGTTGCAAAGTATAAAAAAGCCTTTGACGCACAAAAATCTGATCGAGAAAATGCAAAAGCAAACGAAAAAATTATATACCTCACATTTGATTTACAAAAAACGCTTCCCCTGCCAAAAATGTCTACAAGCAAAGCCTTCTATTTACGACAAGTATGGCTTTACAATCTAGGAATACATTTAATATCAACACAACAACAAAATGGTAAAGGCTTTTTCCACGTTTGGACCGAAGACCAAGGGAGTCGCGGTCCTGAAGAGATTGGCAGCTCACTTATGGCCTTTTTGGAGAATATCAAGGACCAAGCCATGGCTCCCGATCATCTAATTGCATGGAGTGATTCGGCAGGTGGCCAAAATAAAAAATTTTATATTGTCTGTCTATGGCACTATCTAATAAATTCAGGAGTGTTCAGAAAAATTGACCATAAGTTCCCTGAAGTGGGACATACTTTCATGGACTCTGATAGAGACTTTGCAGCGGTTGAAAAGTCTATCAGGAAGCACCAATCAAATTATACAATAGACCAATATATTTCTATCATGGCAGAAGCCAGGAAAAAAACACCTTTCAATGTTACAAGAATGGCGGACAAATTTGTTGATATAAAAGAGCTTCCAAGAAAACTTGGACTCGTTGATAGAAAAAAACTACAACTAACGAGAAATTTTCATTCAGAGATGTGAGATGGATCCAGATTGAGGAATTTGGTATAATCAAGTACAGATACCCCTTTGATGAAACAGAAAATTGGACTATTGTTGATATAAGAAAACAGCGGAATCTCGACATGAGAGGACAAAATGAACCTTTATTAGTGAACGTCGATAGAAGCCGACCTATTGGGGCCAACAAGATTGACAATATTCAGGAACAGATTCCTTTCATATCAGAAAATTTTAGAGGATTTTATGAAAACTTAAGAAAAGGAGACGATTAGTTAGTCTGTGGATCATTTGTTATTACCTTTGTGAGTTCATAATAATAAAAAAAGACTAAGTTTACTTTTTATAAATAACATCATTGAATTGACACATTTTTACTGTTTTCATTTTCCTGTCCAAGCAAATAACTGTTTTTTAAAAAGGTGTCAAGTCAGATTTTCACCAATGTTTTTAACATTTCTGATGATAAAAACATATTTTTTAACAAAACTGCCTTTTCAAGATACTTTTATATCTGTCTTAAATAACCTTGAATATTAAAAGTAACCATAGCAGCCACATATAAAAAATTTCAGGGTTTAAACATTGAGGCCAATTATAAAATTTGAGTTAACACCTTTTTGCACCAAAGGCTTCAATTATTTCGGGAAAATTTGCTAATATGATTAGACTAATAGTATTATTTGAAATAGTGTAGGCTTGCGCTTTTCGTATGATAATCTTGCCATTCTTGTCATTTTTCCGGAGATAAATTAACTGTACTGGGAAGTACAGATAAATATAAAAGTGCATAGCAAAAATCCACTATGGATTTCAGTCAAACCATTCAAATAGAACTGTACCATTGATTTTATAATTGTCAAAAAATGACATATCAATATTTCTGATATAATTTGGAAAGCATGTATGTACATCAAGAATATTATAAAACTATTGACAATATAATGAACTGAAGCTGGAACATTTGGATTTTTTCTATGCCTTCAACAGATTTAGAACTATCAACTTTTTTCAAATTTTATTAATTATTTACATAGGCCATTTTTGACTAGACTTAAAACAGGTGCTTTTATAATCTACAATTTCATCTAATGCTTGAAAAATCACAGTAACTAAAACATCGGCAAATTTTACACAATGGCTATAGTTTGATATTTAAAAAAACTTTGATTCTAATTTGTTAATTAATGAGGGGCTGGGTAAAGAAACGCTACGGGTATTTTAAGTATGCCACTACTGAAATACTGAAATAAATGCTAAATACGGTCCTTAGTCCAGTCAAAAGATCCAGCTCAAAATCGTCCTTCTTTCGAATGTTGAAAATCATACATTATGGGCTATTAATACCGCAAAATTGAAAAAACAGTCCAATACTGAAACCATACCTAGTTAGTGCCTCCAGGTCCAGACCTTCGCGTAACAGACATCTGCTCCATCGAGTGCATTCAAGCTCGCTCAGCTACAGTTTGTCCGAAGGCATCCCCTCGGCTGCGATATTCAAGGGAGAAACAGCTTAGGCTTTCAGGTTATGACAGTTTAGCTTTTTTCCACTGACGCAACCGCGGAGCCGGAAGCCTAAATGCCAAGGCACCGCGGCTGCTGTGAGGAGCTTAAACAACTCTGTTAATCCTATTTTTCAACTGCCTAAGGTTAGTAGAGCTGGGAAAAGCCTCCTCACGTAGGTTGTCCACAATTTCGACACCCTAGGGACAAAGGAGGGGTCGTATAGGCCAGTTCTGGATGTACGAACTTCCGACGTGGTTAGGGTGGAAGGTCGAAGTCCGTTAGAGAAGAGTCATCCGTCTGTCTGACATCATCAAGCATTGATAACGTAATGGAACAAAAGCAACCAAAACATGTGAGCAATACTGGGCCTTGTACAGAGTGAGGAGGTCATGTGGAGAAAAGTACTTCTTAGCCCTAAACAAATAGCCGAGTTTTCTTCCGGCAGCTGCTGCTATTGACGAGACGTGTTCGTGCTTGGTTTGTCCTTCAGATTTTATCCGTTCTCAATGTAACTGTTCACGAATTAATCTTAAATTTACGTGTTTTTCAGACAACGTAGCGCCAGTCCAATTGGTGGTTTGGGCTGCTTTCTCATGTAAGCTCACGGCAAAGTGGGTATAAGTATTCGGATAAGCTATAGCTAAACGGTATAATCGCCGATGGTGAGAGGTGAGCGGATATATTCTGTCAGCGCATAGCTGAGCGAGTTCGAGTACACTCGGTAGGGTTTTTTTATAAGCATCCGTTGGGTTTTTCAACGCATTAAAGGGACATGTTAGGAGAATATCATTTGACTGGACTACTATTCCCAATTTTTCGAAAATACCGAGCCTTGCATTTCGAAATCACTGGAATTATCTAATTTGAGTATTCGTCACGTATTTAGTAAAATACTACAAAACAGCAACAAACAATACTCCTGACCACTTACGCTAAACAGCCAAAAAAATCGACAAAGCATTACTATTTTTCAGCTAGACGGTCGGGGTCGACCGTCTTAAATTTTAAAAACCAGCAGGCGTGGTAATTAAAACAGAGAAATACAACTGAAGATCAAGTGTTGACATTCTCCCAAATTAAATCATCATAGTTTTTTATATCCAGCCCTGTTAATGCAACCAAAAACAACAATATCAACCGAGTGACGAGCGACATTAACATATACATGTTTTGTCAAACAATTACGAAATATCAAATATCACTCTTCACATACAAAAGCCCTACCGTACGTCGGTAGGCCGTTTTGGTAAAAAAGTATAGTAGTTGCTTGTAACGCTTCAACGTTTAAGTAATAATGCCGCTTGATATTCTGCTTCTTTTCTACAAAAAGAATTAAAGCTTCAAGCTTGTAATTACTCGAGCCTGTTCGCGCTGAAACGATAAGATCAATCGATTAATAATTCATTTTCAGTAGGTACAATTAAATTTTTAAGTAAGGGCCTCATCATGCATATGGATAATGAAAGTAGTACTATGAGCAAACGGGAAAAGATAAGTCTGTTTTCGTAGCAACCTTGATGTGTTACTAGTGCTCATTTAAAAATTATTTTAATCTATACAGGGTGTTCCATAAATTCGTGTCATAGCAAATATATTTTTTTATACAGGGTGTTTCAGTTTATTGTTGCATACCTTTAAGATTCGATAGAACTTTTAAAATTAATGCATAAAGTCTATAGTCTAAGTCGAAAAATGCGTGGCTTCCGAAATACAGGGTGTTTAAATTTACTTTCTAAAATAGTTTTTTTTAAATATTTCGAACAATATTTGATGTATAACAGTGAAAATTGGTATACAAGGGTTTTTTGGTACGACAAAACGAACCATGGGCATAGTTTTACTGTAGCCGCTAGAGGGCGCCCTCTACTGTACCTGTAGTGTATTAAAGTGACCGAAAAATTAATCTTAGTGCAATTTTTTGCTTTTTGAATAAAAAAACTGATTCTTCGCACTTTTCAACATAAAAAAGCTCTCTTGTGAATTTTCGTTATAGTTAGCCGTTTTTGTGATATTTCGATTTTTAAGGTTCGATGCATTTTTAATTATTTATGATAAAATAACGTTAAAAAGTCAGTATCTCGATAATTTTTAGAAGCAGGCTGTGCCTGCAAATATTTTTGAAATTGAAAGCAGAATAAGGTTAAACGTCAATTAGTTGACAGTTAGTTTTGTTGTCTGCTGAAACCTGAAACGTTTTTTTGCGATTGTGAATGCATGACATTTAGTTTCTTTTACCTGTTTTTTTTTTGTAATTTTTATAAAAATGCCATTTTTATTCTCCAATCAAGAGTTAGCGGATATTCATTTTGTGTATGGCCTTGTAAATGGAAACGCAGCAGAAGCAGCCAGAGAATACGCACGAAGATTTCCAAACAGACGACATCCAACTCGCTCAGTATTTGTAAGAGTGCATCGCCAAATAATTGAAAATGGTTTTGGAAATCTCCAAAGGGATCAAAACATAAATGTTTGTCAGCGCAGATTTACCCGTATGATTCTGCGTGAGTTTGATAGAGATCCGACCACAAGTGTTAGGAGAGTTTAATTTTATATGTTTGTCCTAACTAGCTAATAGCATTTTAGTTGTAAATAATTAATTTAATTTGTTAAAAATAATATTGGAAAATTAAACAAATTAATATTCTTTTTTTTGTGTTTATTTGGAGTTAGGAATTATTGCTGTGTTTAAAAACACAATCTAAACGATCATCTTAATTACTTGTAATGCCCAAATCGAAAATTTAAAAAAAAAATATTATTTTCCCATAAATAATTAAAAATGCATCGAACCTTAAAAATCGAAATATCTCAAAAACGGCTAACTATAACGAAAACTCACAGGAGACCTTTTTTATGTTGAAAAGTGCGAAGTATCAGTTTTTTTATTCAAAAAGCAAAAAATTGCACTAAGAAAAAATTTTCGGTCACTCTAATACACTACAGGTACAGTAGAGAGCGCCCTCTAGCGGCTACAGTAAAACTATGCCCATGGTTCGTTTTGTCGTACCAAAAAACCCTTGTATACCAATGTTCACTGTTATACATCAAATATTGTTCGAAATATTTTAAAAAAACTATTTTAGAAAGTAAATTTTAACACCCTGTATTTCGGAAGCCACGCATTTTTCGACCCATGTTTATATAGACTTTATGCATTAATTTTAAAAGTTCTATCGAATCTCAAAGTTATGCAACAATAAACTGAAACCCCCTGTATAGAACACCCATTGCATATTTAAATAAAACTTCTAAAAACATGAAGTTTAATATCATATAACATATGGTTTCGATTGTTAATTATTGTTAAGAAATTTGGTCAAACGTCTAAAAAAATGCCCTGCTTTTTGAAGATATTCACATAAATCTTAGAGACGTATCGTCAGTCGTTCCTACAACTGTGAGTCGCCTTTATGACCTTGACAGCCCTCTATTTTGAGGTTATGTTACAAATATCCATTTGCCTCAAACTGTTCAAGCTTTAGATTTATATCATCTGTTATATAACCTGAAATTTACTCTAATTCAAGAAGAAAACAAATCCTCACAATGAGAGAGAGAGAGAGAGCTGACGCCGACAACGAACAGTAGAATTCTAAAGGGTTGTCCAATAGGGACGCAGGAAAGTAAACGTCAATTTGACATAGACGCCATCTTTGTTTTCTGTCACCGACATGTCATTTTGTCAGTTGAATGTTTACGATTGATCGCTATGGAATCGTATTCGATTGAAGACCGCATTAAAGTTATTCAAGAGCACTACAAAAATGGTGCAAAAATAAAAAACACGTTTCGCGCGCTTCGTGCACATTTCGGTCGCAACAACCGCCCAAACGAAACAACCATTGGTCGTCTGGTGCGTAAATTCGAGGCAACAGGTTCTGAGGCAAATCTGCCAGGCTCTGGCCGGCCAAGGAGCATTCACACACCGGAAAATATTGCTGTTGTGAAGGAGAGTGTGAGAGACGATCCGAAACAATCAACAACGCGTCGATCCCAAGAATTGGGCATTTCGAGAACCAGTTTGCTCCGCATTCTCCACAAGGATTTGAATGTACACGCCTACAAGATCCAATTGACGCAAGAGCTGGGTCGGGCCGACCATTTTTCGCGCAGAACGTTCTCAGATTGGCTCCTTGAACACCGCCAAATTGATGCCAATTTTTCATCAAAAATCATGTTCAGCGACGAAGCGCATTTCACTTTGAATGGGACTGTAAACAAGCAAAACTGCCCCATCTGGGCGAACGAAAATCCCCGTGAGTATCAAGAGCAGCCGATGCATCCTCAAAAAGGGACTGTGTGGTGTGCACTGTGGTCAAAAGGCATCATCGGACCTTATTCGGGGATATTTGAAAAGCAAAGTCTACGTCAACAAACCAGGCACCCTCCAAGAACTCAAAAACAACATCATTGCCGAGATAAATGCCATAGAACCGACCATGTTGCAAAATGTCATTGAAAATTTCGACCATCGCGTGGACGTCTGTAAATCCAGTCGTGGTGAACATTTGAGCGATATTATTTTTCATACATAAATGGTATAAATGAACCTTCAAAATAAAGTACCCAACTTGATTTGAATATCAATCTTTCTTGTTTTAATATGCGTTTACTTTCCTGCGTCCGTTTTGGACAACCCCATAGAAATACCCCAGCCTTTCTGAAGGAGAGAAAAGACTATGGAAATCAAGGAGGCCATAACGGGTCCTAAAACTGTAGGAACGACTACTGACGATACGGCCCTTAGCTCACAAAAATTTTATTATCATCGATTTTAAGCTGATCTGGAAAAAGTGCTGACATTTCTGTGTATTTATTATTTATTATATTATATATATTAAATACAAAATGTATCTACCTTTTCATAAAAATTTCAGACGGAACACTGAATATTTCTACATCGTTAAATTGTTTTTTTGGCGAACTTTTTTTGGATATGGTTTATACAACCTTTTCCAAACATCTTTAGAGTTATTGCTAATATTTTCAAGAAAAACCAAATATATAATTGTTTTTTTTTCCAACATAATGACTATATTTATACTGTAGCAACAATGTCAAGGTTTTACATTTGTTTTCCTTTATTAAAATGTTATCTCTTAGTTTTTGTGAAGAAAGTAGTTTCTGAGAGCCGAGTAGTACAGATATTATTAGTTATTGCCCTTTCATTTACTAGTATTAAGCATAACAAAATGCCTCGAGTTCGAAGACGTCCAAATTATCACCATATTAGCGACTTTGACAGGGGTAGAATTCCCACCCTGTACGCATGTACTTACCAAAACTTGCTTATATCCTATTCGGCAAGGAAGCGTTGTGGGTTAAAGTCTCTATTGACAATAGAGAAACCCTGGAATTCGTCCTGATTGATAGACTGCAGCACTTCATTGCTTACTGGTGTAAGTACTGGCTCTTCTCTCGTAAATTCAGCATCGAAGTTGGTTACATCCTTTCGACTTTTCTGAGAACGAGAAAGTCCAGGAGTTAGTAGAATGTTCAATGGATTCAAAAGAAGACACATTTAGTATTTAGGGGAATCTGGTGAACACGCAAAAAAGGGCACGAACATGCAGAAATAAACCTTGTTTTGCTAGGTCGCAAATATCTTCCATCGGATTTTTTAGAAATCACTTTTGGCATTTCGATCACAAAGTTACGTAAAAAATTGATACTCACGATCCTTGGTCTGAATGGTGGCTTGACCTTACGCTGTTCAAGCGCATTCCAGTCCATATCTTTGAAGAAAGGATGTGTTTGTATTGCAGCTTCAGCGCCATGTGCTGTTACGCAACCTAGTCGTTTGCTAGGATTCTTCGTCATGAAGCCTGGAAAAAATAGTGATTTCATATAACGTTACTAAAATTTCTAGTATTTAACTTGTGCCATTCTTGTAAAGTACCTAATTGAGTATTGTTCACATTTAACTATACCCACTTTCTCTATTAAATTCCTCGAGGTGCTTTAACACTTGTCTCTACAACCATTTCTATGTATACATGAGAAACTAAAACATTCCGCTATACGATAGTTGACACTTTGTTAAGTGAGTCTTAAATAGTTAATACTCTAGCTTGGGTCAACCTTTCACTGCTCCACCAGCTTCATACATGTTGGTTTCCATAAGTAGGAATGTATGTAGTAGTAGTAGAAACATTTATTTAGCACATTTGGCTACATAAACAGAATAATTGTAAACAACTTAGAACTAGTAAATTCAAGCCATATGGTGTATGATGTAAATGCTGGGCAACCTATAATTGTAGATTTAACAAGTGATTTCTCAATTTTACTTTAAATTTTGTCAAAGTTTTCTGGTCTTTTATCTCTGAGCATAATTTATTATATTCAATCAACCCTTGATGGAATACAGATTTGTAGCATATGTTATACTTTTTGGTCATTAAATGGAAGTCATCTTTATTTCTGGTATTATGTAAATGATGGTCGACATTTGATGATGTTAAATTAGTTAGACTTGATGGAAATATATTATTTTTTACTTTATAAATGAATATCATTACAAGATATTTGATAAAACTTTTTATATTGAGCCATTTTAATTTGCTAAGCATTTGTCTAATTGGAGTATATTTATCTTTATTTAGTATTATTCTCATGCATTTATTTTATAAAATTTGCAGTCTTTCAAAAATGGAATTATTTGCTAAATATAGAATAGTCGAACAGTACAAGAAATTTGGAAGAATGATGGTATTATAGATAATTTTTCTGCTATATGAACTCAGACATCTAGAAACGCTCGATAAATATCCCACTTTACTACTAATCTTATTTATAACTTTTTCATAATGGATATCAAAAATTAATCGAGAGTCAACAAAAACCCCCAGGTATTTCAAATTTTCTACGAATTCAATATCTTCACCATCAATATTCAGTTGAACATTTGTACATTGTTTTTTTCCGATTAACAAGGCTTTCGTTTTCCTTGTATTTAATTTTAGTCTGTTAGATGCTAACCATTTTGAGACAAGTTTCAAGTCTTCATTTATATAAGAGATACCAGACTGAATGTTTTTAGTACTTAGTGTCATCGGCGAAAATCTGAATTTTGCATTTTCTATGGCAGGTAAATCATTTATGTATAAAATAAAAAGAAGTGGTCCCAGGATACTGCCCTGTGGAACACCCAACGTATTTTCAATTTTTGATGAAATAGTGTCATTGACTTTTGTAACTTGCATCCTTTTAGACAAATAATTTCTAAACCAATCTAAAACACTTATATCTTCTAAATCTTTTGTTTCGACAAAATATTGATATTTTGCATCCAAAGAATATATTCTGAGCATTTTTACTTTCTTCTATGAACAAACAGCAGCGGTAGAATCGTGGGAGACGATATGGGTCTCCCTAATCAGTCCCCGTGCGCTGCGCGGGTCTGAATCCCGTCCCAAGAGAATTTTTCTCTTGGCTATGGATGCTGTGATTGTGCGTAGGTGGTATACGGTCTATGAGTGTCGTACGTGGAGGTACTACCCGGCGGATCTCGAAGGCGGGGCCAAAATGTGTGTATGTTGCATGCACACGTGCGGCATCCTCCCTTTTTTGTATTCCCCTATATTCCCACGGTACCCATGGGGGTTTAGGCCTTAGGCCTTCGTGATAGTTCACGTATACAAAAAATTAATGAGGTGTGACAAAATTCGTGCTCTATTCGCGCCATAGCTATGCAGTAATGAGATCTAGCGTGGCATAATCAATTCTACCACGCGCTGTCCTAAGAATGTGACATTTCTTTTGCAAGGATGAAATGCTTCTGTCAGATGCAGGGCAATTATTCATTATTCAGACAGTTTGACACGAGATGTATGGCCACGTTCAGTCGGTAGTTGGAATTAACCATTAAATCCTATTGGCGGATAATTTTGGCGGACAATCAGAGAATTTATTTTAATGTACAAACTACAGATTCGTTTTTTCTAACACAAGAGCGAGAACATGAGGGTAAACTGCATCTTCCTTTGATGATCCTCGAAGTTGGGACTTTTCTTTATTACATGGCGTATAGATTTTTGGAAAAGTAAGATGTTCCCAAAAACACATGAGTTTATAACGGTCTAAATGAGTCGCCAAGTTATCGAGTAGGTGCTAGGCTTTTAACAAATATGAATAACAATGCAATTAGTTCAAATTGGGCGGCAAATTTAAATACGGCGCTCTTGTTGAGACACCATTTATAATGCTTGCGTGAAAAAAATATGTTTATGAGTTGCGACCGAACACAAGTACTACTATAAGCTGTTGTTATAATAAAAATACTGACCTTTGAGTATGCTAACAGCCTCCTTACTCAACCAAACAGGATAGAGCACATCATCGTGTAGAATCGATTCAAACAAGTCATCCTCATTATCAGCTTCAAACGGCGGCTGCCCCGCCATCATTTCATACATAAGTACTCCTAGTGCCCACCAATCTACACTAGCACCATATTCCAATTCCTAAAAATATAGACATGACGTCAATTATTTCCGAGTAATTATATAAAAAATAAACTCAAATTTTTTTAATGATCTAGTTTTCAAAGACGTTTTTAGGATCGCCAACAAAACATAGTGTCAATTAGTTTTTATACTAAATACTTTGGAAAGTTCAATTACCTGTAAAATTTCTGGCGCGATATAATCAGGAGTTCCACAAAATGTTGACGTTGTTACTCCTTCCAATATTCCTTCTTTGCACATTCCAAAATCTGCTAATTTACAATGACCGTCTGAATCCAGAAGGATATTGTCAAGCTTCAAATCTCTGAAAAAGATTTAAAATAAAGGTATACATAGTCGCATACTGTTTTATTGGATGACACTTTTGAGTAAACATCATGTTTAACAAATATATATTCATCTACTGGCTGGCTTGTAGAAAAAAATTTTTCAGTTTTTTGTTTATATAATTTTCTAAAAATTTAACGAATTAATGGTACACCCTATATAAATTTAATGATAATAATAGCATTTAGAGTTGATATCTGAAGCTAACAGAAAATGATGTTTATTCAATCACAATCTCTTGACTCATACCTATTTTCATAGGATAAATGAGTACTTTTTACAGATCTGCCTTAGGAAAATGAAATACATACAGTAATGGACAAAAGTATATAGACAAATTAATATTGTACTGTATTTCTTTTTTAACTTGTTTTATTAATACACCAACCTGTATACATAATTCATTATAGCATAATACTCACTTATACATAAATAAATTCATTAGACTCCCTTCAATAAAAAATTAATTGAAAAAAACTGGAACAATGAAGGACAAAAATATATTGACAAAGCAAAACAATTATAGAAAAAAGAAGCAAAGTTTATTGAATTATAGAAAACCATCATGTTTGTGTTAATATTTTGTAGCATAACCATTATTATCAAGCACCGCCTGGCATCGTCTCGGCATAGATTGTAGAAGTTTCTTGATATAAGATTCATCAATCTGTCTCCACTTTTGCTCTAAAGCGGCAAAAAGTTCATCCTTGTTTGAATAATTTTTATCTCGTATTTGCTTATCTAAGTATTCTCATAGATTTTCAATGGGGTTTATATCGGGAGACTGTGAAGGCCATTTGATAACTGGTATTTTTTCATCCAGAAAGAATTTCTTTTCGAGATTTGAAGTGTGCTTCGGGTCATTATCTTGCTAGAAGATTGATCTTAAGGGCATTTTTTTTTTCATATAGAGTAACATGACATGCTTTAGTATGTCTGTGTATACAAAGTTATCAATAATGCCATCTATTCTATGTAAAGGTCCCATCCCAAACCCCGAAAAGCACCCCCAAACCATAACAGACCCGCCTCTATGTTTGACAGTGGGCAAAGTGTACTTGGGGTTCAATCTTTGACCACTAGGACGTCTAACATAATGACCACCATCTGATCCAAACATATTGAACTTGGATTCGTCACTGAAACATACCCTCTTCCAGTCACAGATGCTCCAATCAAGATGCGTCCGTGCAAATTGTAATCGGTCCTTACAGTTTTTCCTCGAGACTAGCGGCTTCTTACTCGGGCGACGTGCAAATAACTTCAAATCTTTTAATCTTCTACTTATAGTTTTCGTAGAAACACTGGCAATTTCTTTTGTCTCGATTTCGGGTTTTATTTGTCTTGGGGTTTTAAACGGAACTTGGAACGAAATTACTTTATTAATCTAGCTGATCTAACATTTAGTTTTCTAGGCCGACCACTTCTCTTAGAGGATTCCAAGATACCTTTTTGTTTATATTTGTTCAATATTGCCCAAACTGCTTTACGCTTCAGCTTCAAATTTTTGGCAATGTCGACTTGACGTTGACCATCTTTGTATAACTTAATGATCTCAGTTTTCACATCGAAGGAAATTTCTGGACCACGCGGCATGGTCTTAAAATCACTCAACTTATTCCACAATACTTGATGAACACAAACTAATCCTCTTCTGACACGAAACTGTACTAAACTAATGTTGAAAAGAATTTGTCTACATATTTTTGTCCCTCATAAAAAAATGCTTATCTTCAGACTTGAATTGTAAAAACAAGGAATTTAGTTTTTCTACTAATATCGGATTATTTATGAATATATCGATTTCAATTTTTAACATGAGATGGTGAAAACACTATCGGCCATGATGTGACGTCATACAAATTGTAAACAAAGAAACGTCTCCGTATGTCGCGCGTGGATTAACGATGTCTTCTTTAGGTATTTCTAAAAAATTCCTAATCAACGTAAAAGGTAATAGTTCTCTCGTTTTATTGAAAAAACAATTATGGATGTTGGATTCGTAAAATTGATACATTGATGTTTGGTAATTTTTTAATGTTGATGATTCTCGTTAGTTTCGAGTATTCGTTACTAATCCTTACTCTTCTGCAAAGTATTATATATATATAATACAATTAATTGTTAATTGAGAAATTGGCAAATTTTTAGGCTTAAGTTGACGATAAAATCAAGCTTTCGGCATTCTCTATGGAGCCTTCATCAGGATTCTGAAAACACAATTGTGATGCTAGCAAAGAATACAGGACAGATTTAAATTGACAAACAACTTACTCGTCGTTGAGGTTGCAGCCACAAGGTGTTTCAAAACGAACGTAGAGAAGATAGAAATTGTAATAAGTACGTAGTCATGCCATAAGTTCTGTCCCTCGTTTTCAAACAAGTGTAGACCTGTTAATACTTGTCCGATTGTTTACATTGTGGTGTCAGTTGATTAAGCGCTTTTCGGGTAATTACATATACCTCAGTTTGTATTGATCTCTCGAAGCATAACGATGGAGTGGGGCAAGGCAGAGAACCGTATTGCAGTGATAGCTTTACATAAGTGTAATCACAGTGCTAGTCAGATTTTTGAACTCTTACGCGGCCTTCAAATATCGCGTAAATTTGTGTCTAGGACCATTCAGCGGTACAATGAGACGTCCTCTGTTGATGACAGGCCAAGAAGCGGAAGACCTCGTCAAGTAAGGACTCCAGCAGCCATCAAAGCCGTAAAAGCCAGGATTCAAAGGAATCCACTCCGGAAGCAGAAGATCCTATCCAGGGAAATGAAGATTCCTGTCCGGACGATGTCGCGCATCATTAAACAAGACCTAGGGCTAGGGGCTTACCGGAGACGTACGGGCCAGCGACTTACGGCCACCTTGCGACACATCAGGGCGACAAGATCCAAGAAGCTCTTGGAGAGGTACGCAGCTGGGGGATTCCGAAAGATTTTGTTCACGGATGAGAAAATCTTCACCATAGAAGAAAAATTCAACCGACAAAATGACAAAGTGTATGCAAGGAGTTCACAGGAAGCTTCGGAGATCATTCCGAGAGTTGAGAGAGGCCACCACCCTGCGTCAGTCATGGTTTGGTGGGGGGTGTCCTACGAAGGGGTCACTCAGCTCCATTTCTGTAAACAGGGCGTGAAAACAAAAGCGGCAAACTATCAGAGCGACATACTGGATCCTATCGTCAAGCCTTTAAGTGGTACATTGTTTGCCAACCAACACTGGGTCTACCAGCAGGATTCCGCCCCCGCTCACAAGGCTAAGAGTACGCAGCGCTGGCTGGAAAGCAATGTGCCAGAGTTCATTGCTGCGGAAGATTGGCCCTCAGGGAGTCCGGACCTCAATCCTTTAGACTACAAGTTGTGGGACCTGCTAGAGCAGTTGGCCTGCTCCAAAGCACTCCGTAATATCGAGTCCCTGAAAGCGGATTTGATCCGATCAGCGGCAGCTATTCCTTTGGAAGCTGTGCGTGCAGTGATAGATGAGTGGCCCGCGAGATTGAAGCAGTGTGTGAAGGCCAAGGGGGGACATTTTGAATAAAACTGTTTGATTATGAATTCTAAAAATGTTGTCGAATAAATAATATCTTTCATATAAATATATCTTATCTTGTTTCATTTTTATCATGAGATTATCATGGGACAGAACTTATGGCACGACTACGTATAAAAACAAAAGGACGGAGACATTGGGCTTGTTGATAACGACAGATACCTTCGTTACATGTTAAAAACATCAATACACCCGAACATATTAAAAATTTTTAAACATGAGAAGACATTTTAGTTTTAGGAAAACAATCGAAATGCAGTCTCTAACCTCCTACTTCCGCTACACGTGGAGAGGGGGACGGCACGGAAAGATAATGCGTCGACAGATGACAAGTGATTGACGTGACGGACCGTGGAACTGTAAACCTCATTGTCCAATACGAGGGACGCTCGGTAAAACCTCCACGACTACAATGACTACTGCTCATATATATGTTGTACTTTGATTACTATAGTTAGTTTGATCACGATTTGGCAACGTACGTCTTGTAATTAATGTCGAATTTGAACCGAATATATTTTGTAAGAAAATAGACAACCTTAAAATTTGCAAAATTTACCAAGCATAGTTTATTCAAATCTGCCGTGTTTAATGCAAACATCGTATCTTCAAACTTTATGTAAAACGAGATGGGTTATTATAGGATAGGGTGCCATATCAGCCTAAACATATATGCGCCTAAAATTAAAATAGTATTTACTAGAAATGCTTAAAAAGCTGTATTTTAGTTAGGAAGATGATCTGTATATGGGCTTAAGGAAATTCGGAATGGCAAATAACTTTTCGAAGCATTTCAATTAAGCCTGGACCAGTATAAAAAATTCTACATGGAGCTTAGTCTACACATACTATTGGTGGTCATACTAGCAAAATGTGGGACAAGTAAACACGAATCAAATTGACATAATTTTTATTATTGTGGTTTTCATGAACGGCGCTGTTACCCTGTTGTCGCTTTTCTGACTGATAATACTGCCGAACTTTGCTCCAATCCAATCCTTTTACCTTTTCAGATTGCCAAGATATCAACAATAATAATTTGAATCACGGTGTAAATAGGTAACTCAATTTTTTGATTGGCGGATATAGAATATGATAATTGTTTTTAAATCTTGAGCTTCCAGGACACAAAAAACAGAGTAATCAAAGTAATTATTTCGTGCTCGGATTGATACTCGTTACTTCGGGTATCTATGAGTAACGAATAGTTAGTTTTTAACACCTCTATCATTTTCAGAAGTTATTCAAAACTAGGCCCATTCGTCATAACCTCTAAATAATTTTATCTAATATAGTTTTTCTTCTCACACATCTACAAGATAATCGTACACTGATGATACCGTAGCTTACGTCCGACTTGAACGAGACGATAAAATCTACAGGGTGAAATGTAAAATTGTCCCGAACATAAACGTATGCTCCAAGCAATACACAGCGTTGCATATATTTATTTCCCTGGGCACTCTAATCCATAACTTCCCTAGGATCTTAATCGATGTGTTTTTACATTCTCAGACGATACAATAACGATAATTTCTAAATTTTTCATGTAAACTAGAAGAAGTCATGTTCATATGTTTAAAAGTGAGAGGCTATGCTGCTATCAGCTGCCGTTTACAAATGGCGGACAGGGGTTTCGTCTGTCTAACAAAAATGTATATATGAATTAAAGTTTACGGTCTTTTAGTTTTGAGGAAATATAGTATTATTTTATTGGTCAAAAATTAACTACATATTATAACCTACTTGAAAAAAAAAGTGTCAACTAGCCTATTATTACAAATAGTGAGTAAAAAGTCATACCTGTAGATAACGCCATGACGATGTAGAAACTGTAAAGCTAACGTGACTTCTGCAGCATAGAATCTGGCACGAGGTTCATCGAATTTTTTTGCTCGCTGAATTTGGAACATTAGATCACCGCCGTTAACATATTCCATGACAAAAAATAATCTAAAACAAAATATAATTTTAATATCAAAAAGTATAAATGGCATAACTACAATAAGCATTTATATACAGGGTGGCCCATAAGTCCTTTGAGCTGGAAAAAAGGAATAAAACCAAACTAGTTACATTATGAAGAATTATTATATTTTGTTATCATCTTTATTGAATGGGAATTATGTTTTAAAAATCACATCGTCTAAATGCAATCCATTACGATCACGGCACTCACATAAACGACGTCTAAAATTGTCGATGACTGCGCGGCAAGTCAACACTGTAATGCTTGCCATTTCTCTTCGGATATTTTCTTTCAGGACATCAACTGATCGCGGAGTGGTGTCGTACACTTTACTCTTGAGGTAGCCCCATAAAAAGAAGTCCATTGGGGTCAAATCTGGACTACGTGGTGGCCAGAAAATGTCTCCTCTTCGAGAAATTACTTTGCTGGGAAAAAGTTGACAGACGACGGGCATAGAAGTGTTGGAGGTGTGGGCAGTTGCTCCGTCCTGTTGAAACCAGGTCTGCGTATTATAGCCTGGAAAATTCTGCAACGCTGGTGTCAAAAACTCTTCTATCATTGCTACATATCGCTCCGAAGTAACAGTAATGCGCGACCTATGTCGTCCTCAAAAAAATAAGGGCCTACGATGCCATGCGCTGACATAGCAGCCCAAACTGTAACTTTAGGGCTGTGTAAGGGCTTCTGATGCTTACGCCTTGGATTTTCGGGACTCCAATAACGGCAATTTTGTTTATTTACATGCCCGTTTAAATGGAAGTGAGCCTCGTCCGAGAACAACACATTATTGAGCGAAGAAAATCGATTCAACATTTCATTCGCAAAGTTTAGTCTCTGAATAGCGTCATTATCTTTTAATTCCTGCACCAACTGAATTTTGTAAGAGTGCAGACGTAAATCTTTCCTTAAAATCCGCTGTAAAGATGTTCTGGGTACGTTTAGTGCACTGGAACGCTTACGAGTAGACTGGGTAGGATTTTGACGAACAGACTGTGCCACAATGTTGATGTTTTCTTCAATACGAGTTGTCCTTGGTCGACCCCACCGCTGTTTATCTAACGTCGAACCAGTCTCTTCGAACTTAGCAACCCAGTTCTTAATCGTTTGAGCTGTTGGACACTTTGTAAAATTGTGGTACTCTCGATATTTACGCCGCGCAATGGTTGCCGAATCATTATTTTTATAAAACGCGCGCACACAAAAAGCACGATCCACTCCAGTGAAACACTCCATGGCGACTGAATTCCCAGACACTGAAGAACTGCCCCCACCTCGCCCGCGCCGCTCACGCTCACCCGTTAAATTTTATTCAAATTTGAAATTTCAAAGGACTTATGGACCACCCTGTATAAATAATTTCAGTTCCTTGTTACTGTGCCGCGCTATTTCATACGATTTTTACAACAATGAATTTGTGATAGTCCAGAACACAAGACCAGGGGCAGTATTTTTGTAATTGGTGAAAAAGTCGTTACACTAGAATAGGTCAGCAAAAGATAATTCAAAATGAAAAAAAAAAGTGAAAAATCCCTGGTATGATGGAATTTGAACCGCCGTGTTTGTACACAAAAGTGCTTACACACAATGAGAAAAATGTAAGCATTTGAACAATAAAAAGCAATACAGAAAATAACACATACACTTGAAAAACATACAGGGTGGCCGATCCGCACCCCTATTTGTGACTCTCCTGGTATATTTAGGAAAACCACGTCAATTTCTGGGGAATGCCTTTTCATCTATACCCGTACAATACAGGGTGACCAAAAAATAAGATATTGCGTTACACTTGTAGATTTTTGAATGGAAACCTCCATTTTCAATTTTTAGATTTTCAATGAAGTTTTCAGTAAATTCTGTATAATAAAGTTTATACCTATCTCCAATCGATGTGAAGCTATTTGAGTTTATAGTAAAATTCGACTAACTTAATACTGATAATAATGGGATGCAAGGCAAAAATAATAAACATGGATCAAATTTAACAGACAATATAACAATGGCACTTGATAATCAAAAAGCAGTAGCTCTCATACTTCTTGACTTTGCATTTGACACCATTAATCACTCACTTCTTGTAACTAAATGCAGTTACTATGGATTTTCTGAAAAACCTCTTTCGTATATTCAAACCTACCTTGAAAATCGGTATCAAAAAGTTCGTCTAAATCAACAGTACTCTACGGAACAAAAAATTTGTTCTGGTGACCACAGGGATCAGTCTTAGGACCGCTATTATTTTCATTATATATCTCAGATTTAGAAACAGAGGTAAAATCATGCAGCATACATCTTTTTGCAGATGATACTCAAATTTTCTATTCATTTAGGAGTAATGACTTAGAAACGGCTAATAATAAAATTAATCAAGATCTTGCCCAAATTGTCATAATCTTCGTTTGAACACTTTGAAGACAAATATGTTGGTATACGCAAATAGAACAAAAAAGAATACCTTAAAAAAGGACATAAACATACATTTAAAGGTAATAAATTAATTCCTGTGGATCATTCGAAAAACCTAGGTATTATAATGGATGATGACTTAAAATTTGTTGCACACGTGAACTATCTAATTACTCAGTGCTACGCTATTCTCAAGAGTTTTATTTGCAAATAAGGCTATATTACATAAATCTGCGAGAAAGCAATTGTGTGAATATTTCGTATTTTCAAAGATATCGTATTGCTTAGTGGTTTACTATCCCTATTTAGATATTATAACAAGAAATTGTATACAAAGTATTATGAATACATGTTGCAGGCTTGTAAATGATCTCAGAAAATATGATCATATATCGAATGCCATTAATGAACTCAAATGGATGAAAATTGATAAAATGTATAAGTACCAGCTCCTAAATCTGACTCATAAGGTTTTTATTAAAAAACACCGTTATATTTAGTAAACAAATTCATACGTAGAGGGAATATGCATCGTATTAATATTAGATATAGAGAGACTTTTTCAATTCCACGCCACAGCACGTCTCTATTTCAGAATTCATACACTTACAATGCGATCAAATCATATAATTCTTTAGACCGCAGTTTAAAAGAAACCAATCCATTATCCAAATTCAAGAAAAAAGTGAAAGAAGTTCTTCTTGATCAGCAGCGAAATCGGTTGTAACCCATAAGTGTCCTCATATTTTCCTTATGTATTTACTTGGATTATTCGTTATTATTGTATACAGGTGCCTATTAATTTTCAACAAATCCTTTTTTTTTACATCTCGTATTGTTAAGGGAGTTAGATGGTAGAATAGATATATATATAATCTAAATCTCGCCTCCTGTAAGAATATTACAAATAAAAGACGTTAATTATTATTATTAATGTATGTCATAGAAAAACTTTGTCTTTCATTTCAATTGTTAAATTACCAAACCTAGTTATGATACCGACCAGTGACTTATTCAAATGAAGAAAGGGTAGAAATAACAAAACTTTCAAGAGCTACTGCCCGGTTGTTTAATGCGTTACATCCAGACAAAAATATTAAAGATATAGTAAATATATATAGTATAGGTATATCTTATTTTTGGATCACCCTGTATTGTACGGCTATAGATGAAATAACGTCCCCCTAGAAATCAAAATTGAGGGGGCGGGGGTTTTTCCCCAAATAGGGGTGCGATCTTTTCGTTGGGCCACACAGTATAAACAAGTCGATTAACACAAAGCAGTAGAAGAAATAGTCAACAATTATGGAACAAAGTAAAATGGTATGGTAAAATCATTAAAAACTCGTCTATGCTGTAAAAAGCTTTTGCCACTAAATATTTTTTTACAGTTTGCTTAAAGGTGGTTGGGTTCGGTGTTTGACAAAACCTGGGCAGAACATTAAGAATTTTACACGGAAATAATGACTGTAGTGTCTAGTTTTTGCTAGTCTTGTGTATTCTGGTATTAATTAATTATCGAATCTTGTGTTATATTTTTGATTCTCTTTTGGAGTTATGAAATCATCATAATTATTTTTAACATGGATTAGATAATCCAGTATATACAGGGTGTCCGCAAAGTTGGGGTTTTCCTTTACACGACGTGTAGATCTTGAAAACATAAGCAATTTTTCTTAGTACCATATACACCAATGTCTTACGGGAACCGAGATAAAGGGCTCTGCAACATCAAAAATATCTGAATACCGTCCTGTAGCCACGACATCCCCGACTGGTACTAGGACACTAGCTCAACCCGACGACAGAACTGGGTCGGGGTCAGTGTGTCAGGTCAGTATGCAACCTTCAACCGACGGTTACGGTCACGCGTCTAGAGGTAATCGCGTAGACGAGAATCCCTCAACAAGCACTAGAGACGTGGCTAGAGAAGTGCAAGTATCAAAAACTAAAGTGTGACAAACGCTGCGTGAAGAGGGGCTGTATCCGTTTCACGTCCAACGTGTACAAGCCCTTCAACTTGACGATTTTCCAGCAAGAGTGCGGTTTTGTGAGTGGTTGTTGCATCAACATGACAATAATCAGGACTTTTTGAAGTGCATATTGGTGACAGACGAATCTACGTTCACGCGTAATGGGGTGAATAACTTTCGCAACACTCATGTTTGGTCAGTAGAAAATCCGCACGCTGTCCGTCGGGCACATTTTCAACAAACATTTTTGGTGAATGTTTGGGCTGGCATGGTGAACGGTATGCTCATTGGACCATTTATTCTCCCAAATCGATTGGACAGGATGCAATACCTAGACCTTACGCAACACTTTGCCTTCCTTGTTTGCCTGCGTCTGCTCGGTAGCGCATCAGCTGATTTCATTTTCTGTTGGAGCGGTATGATTTCGGGCAGAGACGTACTTAGCCCTTCTCGTCAACTGGAGAGTGAGTACTTTTTCCTTTATTTTTTTTTACTTGGTCGCCCTCGTTTCACTACACATCACCTTTGTTATTTCAAGGGTATTTGTTTCTGAAAAGGAAACCCCAACTTTGCGGAGACCCTGTACAGGGCGATTCACCAAAAATGAAACATCATACACAGAACCGCGTTTTAAGGCAGTTTTCTATGAAACATTTTTTCCTCGAGGGCTTTATTGAAACCATTCAGGGTGTTGAAGTTTTAAAAATAAAAAACATTTTTTCAACATATGAAAACCGACAACTCGAATTTGGTATGTGGATTTACCTAAGTATTGTCCACATTCAAAAGTCTTTACTTAAAATTAACGTGCACCAGTGGCGGAGACACAGGGATTAGCGGCATTATTTTTCCAAATAAAAATAGTACGGCACTGTAAGTTTTCGAAACGCGCAATTTTTAGAATTTCATCTTCAATTTGCTACAAATAATTACTCTTGTGTTATTTTCCTAGGGTGCACTGTTTTCGTAAAAATAATAGAAGAAACGTAGAAGAGCCTCCCTTAAAGTGCGGTCCTGCGTATAATGTTTGATTTTTGGTCACGACTTGTTAATCACCCTGTATATGCATGGTAAGTTTGTTAAAATGTCTTGCAACGCTGTCTGAAATGTAAGTTTGCTATTACTCTCTAGCATAGACTCTGAAAAGCAAATACCTTCGATACATAAGAGTGATCTTCCCAAATCAGTATGCAGTATTTATTGTAGGTTAGATTGCAGAACTATAATAGGCTGTCATCAAAGTCGTATTGGTATTTAAATTAGGGATCATATATTTTAGATAACTTCTTTGATGAAGTGGTGATGTGTGATTCTCAAGTTAAGTTCGCACACTCCAAGAAATTTCACGGGTTCTATAAAATTACTTTTACATGGACGAGTACTGCGTAAAAGCGATTGAGTTTCCGCTATATTACGACAAAAACTGTTGGCATTACACCAGTTTTGTGATGAGAATCGAATAAAATACGTACCTATCGCGAGTTTGAAAACACGAATGCAACGCAGTTAAAAACGGATGATTGGCAGCCAGTGCTAAAATCCTCTTTTCCGTCATCGTGCAATCCACGTCGTCATCTTGGATAATTACATCTTTCTTCAACACCTTGACGGCATATACTTCATCCGAATTTCGTTTTTCAGCCAGCATTACTTTTCCAAAACTTCCTTTACCTAGTACCTTCACGAAATGGAAGTCTGACAGTCCTATTGCTCTAGTGCCATCTCCTGCAAATATATGTCTTGGTGAAAATTTCAGGTTGAGGGCATAAAAATAAGTAACAACATATACAGGGTCGCCTATATGTAACTGACTGGTTTGTATCTTGAATATTTGTGAAATTAAGTAAAATGCGTCCATTTTTTCCATCTTAATATTATATTGAAACGTAGAAATTATGCATGAAAAATAATATCAGGCAAATGTCCGCATCCAGAAGCCGCGCAAACCTGAGCCCCCTTGATTACATTTTTTATCAGTTTTTGGTAGGTTTCGGGAGGAATATTTTCAATCGCTTCCGTAATATTATTCTTCAGCTGTTCTACAGTATCTGGTTTGTTGACATAAACCCTATTTTTCAAAATCCCCATAAAAAAGTCAGGAGCCGTTAAATACGGTGACCTTGGTGGCCAGTTGACATCACCAAATCGAGAAATTAAACGGTCCGCAAATATTGTTCGCAAAAGATTCATTGTTTCCATAGCTGTGTGACAAGTTGCTCTGTCTTGCTGGAACCACAGGTTTTGCTGGTTAAATTGTTGGATTTGAGGAGCCAGAAAGTTTTCCACCGTATCACGGTAACGCTCACCAGTGACAGTAAGAGCAGCGTCTTCAAAGAACTAAGGTCCAACGACACCTCCATACCAAATACCGTACCAAACTGTGACTCGACGAGGATGTAGTGGTCGTTGATGGATGACCCGAGCGTTCTCTAATTCCCAGATACGACAATTCTGCTTATGAACAAATCCGTTCATATCGAAGTGAACTTCATCCCTCATTATTTGTCGGTAAAAATCGTTATTTTGAGTATTAAGCTGCAATTAAGATACCACATCAGAAAGCAGCAAGTAGACTACTAAATTAGTATTCACTGTAAATACCTCAAAATATCGGAGAAAAGCCAAAAATATTTAAAACCAGAGGTGTTCAAGTTAAGAGCAGGAAGAGGAACGTCCGTGGACCTGTTAGCGATAGTTTCCAGAGCCGTGGGAGTAATCTTCAGCCATTTTACCATATATTCCATTTTGTCATGTGGACATTTCGTCAATAGTGTCAAATCAAATTAAGAAACTAGTCTACAGAGTGTATAGGGTAATCCGGAAATAGCCGCTGGAATAAGGGAACATGAGTAGGACTGTACGAAAGAAGAATAAAAACATGAAAGATCCTGAAGATGGGGATAATGTAGAAAAATACAGTGATAACAACGAAGAAATGTCGGACGGAAAAAAACGATGGTCTTGCCCAGCCTGTTGTAAACAGGGACGAGTTACCCGAAGCGGATCCACCTCTTCCACATGCGATGCTCGTTCAGAAACCACTGCTCCTTTACAACCAGATCAGTCTACCCCTACCGACACTCTCACCATTATACTTAACCAATTATCAAGTATGGCCAGTGACATAAAGGATATTAAGAACTCTCAATCTCAACTCAGAACTGATGTTGCTTATTGTAGAAACTTGCTACAGCAACATTCGGACTCGATCTCTCGGCATGATGACTTAATAGCGGCCTGCGAAACCAACATACAAAATATCCAGGTTACTCAAACAGAGCTGTCTTCTAACATTGCTAATATTGAATCGAGACTTGCAAGATCTATGGAGACGATGCACTCAGGCAACGGCGCTTCTTCTACCCCTATTGCCCCAAGCTCCCAAGCTGAGACAATGGAGTTATTTAGACGTTCCCACAATATCATTCTGAGGGGTATAGCTGAAGGTAACGATGACATAAACATACTATCAGAGATAATTAGGCATATTGAACCATCTGCCGAAAATCACCGACTCAGCATCACTCGCCTTGGCAGAACAACTTCAAGCAATCGTTTAATTAGAGTTGTGTTTTCCTCACCTATTATCGTCAGCAATATTTTGCGGAAGAAAAACTCCATCCTTAGCCACCCCACGCTTCGTCACGTAAAAATCTCTGACGACAAAACCAGAGGTCAAATGCAAGAACTACAACACCTTCGCGAAGAGCTTAGACGTCGTCAAACAACAGGCGAAAGTAATATTACTATAAAATACGTTCGTGGTAAACCTTCTATAGTACACACAGCTACCCAGGAGATCACACCTTCAAAAAACTGATAAATTCTGTGGCAAACTGGACGGTTTGTTACACTAATATACAATCTCTCTTTTCTAAGCTACTTGAACTCCAAGCATTTGTTCGAGACAATAATCCAACGTTCGTTTGTCTTACTGAAACATGGCTCCATTCCAACGTGTCCGACTCTTCCATCAATTTGCCTGGATACTATTTATACAGAATGGATTCACCACGCACTCCTGGTTTTGGTGGAGTATGCATTTATGTTCGCACGGAAATCGCGTCGGCTTTCTCGGTATCTCCCTCTTTCAGTCCTTTCGATGGCATTGACAATCTATTTTTGGAATTGCGGTGCCCAAATTTCAGCTTCACGATAGGCTGCATATATCGGCCACGGCCCTGTTTGGGAGACACACACCTGTGCAGTCTCATTTCAGATCTCTTAAATAAAAACACCAACCTTTTCATAGCTGGTGACTTCAATCTACGTGACATTAGCTGGCCTATGTCAACCATTCCTGAATGCAATTCTTCTTCTGCTGCTTACATCGACTTGCTACGCAACTCTAGCATATCTCAACTTGTTGATCGTCCAACGAGATTCAGGGAAGGACAGACGCCTAGGGCTCTGGATTTGATATTCGTTAACGACGCAGACTTTGTTTCTAATTTAGATTATTTGCCACCTTTTGGCAAGTCTGACCGTTGTTCACTTTTATCTTCTCTCCAGTTCAATATAAATAGTCGTTCTACAACCGATAAGTTTAAAACCATCAAAATTGTAAACCACGATGCTCTTAACCAAGCCCTGTCTGAAGTCAACTGGCCTGCTTTGCTTAACAACCGTAGCACCCAAGATATGTGGGACACTTTCGCTCAACGAGTCCTAAGCGAAACGGCTGACAATACTGTTGAAAAGAAGGTATACTGTGACCCCTCAAAGCCCTGGATCAACTCTAACATATCGAGGATGCTTCGTCACAAGAGATCTTTGTGGCAACGGTTTAGGAGGAGTGGTCATTCACAAGATTACGTGTCTCATCGATCCTTTTCTAACCTCCTATCTAGAACGTTACATAATGCCAAACATGCTTATGAACGAAAACTCGTTACCTCCAAAAATAAGACGAAGCTGTTTCGGTATCTAAGAACAAACCTGAATTCCAAAGTTTCATCACCTCAGATCCGCGACGCTGACGGTCATCTCCACATGGATGCCACCGAATCTGCCAACTTACTGGCAGAGTCCTTTAGTGATGACTTCGTCGATGAGCCTAATGGAGACCTTCTACCGACCACTATCTGCGATAGGTGTCCCAACAGCCTTTGCGAAGTTGAGTTCCTGCCTGAAGATGTATTAATGCACCTGCGAAATCTGAAGACCTCTTCCTCCCCTGGTAAAGATGGGATGACGGCTGCTGTACTTAAAAACTGCGCTTCAGCACTGGCCCTACCATTAAGCTTAATATTCACATCGTCTTTTAGATCTCATACCCTACCCTCATGCTGGCTTAGTGCTTCTGTTACCCCTGTATTCAAAAAGGGCGACAAATCCTCCGCTAAAAATTATCGACCAATAAGTCTCGTTCCTATCGCCGCCAAAATAGCTGAAAGAATCATATTAGATAAGCTCCAGTCATTTGCTTTCGAAAATGACCTTATCCCTAAGAATCAGCATGGATTTCTCCCTGGTCGATCAATAATGACCAACCTTCTCCACTCTCTCAACGATTGGACTCAGTATCTGGACACAAAGACTCCTGTTGATATAATCTACTTAGATTTTTCTAGGGCTTTCGATCGCGTACCACATAGAAGGCTTCTGTTTAAGTTGGAATGTATGGGAATAAGAGGCGAGTTGTTACTGTGGATTAAGGCTTTTCTCACCGGGAGGACTTTCTCGGTGCGCGTCAGTGATAGCCAGTCTCACCTTCATCATGTAGCAAGTGGAGTTCCTCAAGGCTCTGTCTTGGGGCCAGTGCTGTTCCTTCTGTATACAAGTGACCTGCCCGCATTGATTTCCTCCACATGTTCAGCTTATGCCGACGACACCAAGATTTACAATACTGTCGTAAATTCTGCTATGCTTCAACGAGATCTTGATATTGTTTGTCAATGGTCAGTCAGTTGGCTTTTACCCTTAAATCTAACTAAGTGTTGTGTCCTTCACCTCGGGAAGACAAATCCGCGATTTACATACAAGATCTCTGACCACAACATCGAAGCAGTTTCGAGCCACACTGATCTGGGCGTTGTGGTCAACGATCGTCTTTCCTGGTCAGAGCATATTCACCACGTTACATCAAAAGCCAAGAAACTTCTATATATGCTGGAGAGGTCTTTCAAAGGATCCGATGTCAACACTTGCGCCTACATTTACAAGGCATTCGTGAGGCCAATTCTTGAATTCGCTGGCCCGGTATGGGACACTGTGCTTCTGCGCGATAGAAATCTCGTCGAATCAGTACAGCGTCGGGCTACTCGTATCCCTTTTGGAGCACGAAGACCAAGCTATGAAGATCGCCTTGAATTATTCAACCTGACCTCTTTCTCTGAGCGAAGACTTCGTGGCGATCTTATAGTTACGTTCAGGATACTTCATGGTTTGATGGGCACCAACCTCATGCATCTATACCATCTGTCGCGCAGCAATCTACGCGGACACAGCTTCAAACTGCATAAGGAGCCATTTAAAACAACAGTTCGACAGTGGTTTCTTCCCAACCGCATACTCAACACCTGGAATAGTTTACCTGAAAGTGTGGTTGGTGCTACTTCAGTTAATAGCTTCAAAGTGCAGTATGATAGCTGGAGGAGTGTACAAACTTTATAGCTATGAACTGTATTTTTTTTATTTTTTTCTATTTGATGTATTTGTGTTACGTATCCGTACAATATATTTACTGCATGAGCTTATAGTACTGTGTACTCTGCTCATCTCAATTATCATAATAATAATAATAACATTGCATGAATCTATTGTCGGCGACTTTCATGACTGTAGTTCTTGGGTTATCTGGATATTGTATGGCCGCAAATGCAAGTCTTTTTTTAAAATAGTGCATAATGACGTGCGACGAATAACCAGTTCTTGGTAGACGTCTCAGGGCGCTCCAGTACACTTTCACGAACTCTCTCGATATTTTCCGGAGTACGAACAGTTCGAACACGGCCGACCTTGGTACATCTTTAACTTCACCTGTTTGTCCACCAACTGACGAATGGTGTTGACACTAGGCACATTATTTCGACCGAAATCTTGTCGTAGCTTCCGAATTGTTGCAACAATCGACCCATTATTTAAGTAAAACGTTTTAACGATACGGACGCGTTGTGGGATCGTGTAGCGCTCCATGATGAATTGGACACAAGTGCTTTAACAACTACTACGGCGCCACCTACTGAAATGCGTGTATAAAAAATGGCGCGAAATTTAAATCAGTCAGTCATATATTGGTCATCCTGTACATTAGTCTGAATATGTGAACCTCTACATAGTATCTAAAGTAATTTTTGATGTTTCGATCAGTACTAGATAACTTAAATGCAAAAAATATGTTATTTGGTTGGTTCTTGGGTAGTTAGGTCGTCGTAAAATATTTTTATATGACGTTTCGCTAACACGAGTGGTTGGCATCTTCACAAGATGTTCTCAGTTTGGAGGAAGCAACGACGGCCTAGCTACCAAAAAATTACCAAACTATCAGGTCTTTATGCGTTGCAATGCCATGTATTTATACAGAGTGTTCCTTAATGATATGCGAATAATTAAGGGTGTGAATCTACATGAAAAATTAATGTTAGTTTGCTTTGTAAACTATGGTCCAAAAATGTTTACTTACAAAAACTAGGGGTGTTGAAGTTTTAGGAAAAAAAATGGAAATTAATTAATATTTTCAGAACCGCTCCGCTGATATTTAGTACGTAGTGAAAGTTAATAAAATTGCATATTTTTCAATGCAAAAATATTTTTCAGCTTTAACAGTGGCGTGCGTACGGGTATTGACTTCGATATTTTTTAGGAAAAAAATAGTACGACAATGGTTTTTGAATTGTTTTCCTTCGTTGCACCATTTTTGAGTAAAAAAATTAAAACAGTTCTATTGTCCAACTTTAAACCCAAATTATTATTAATTTAATTTGAAAAAAGAGATTAGGGGTAATGAACAACAACAACTGACAACATAAACATAACATTAAAACCAACGAAATGATTACAAAAATTGTTGAAAATTACCTCCTTTTCTCATAGAATTGCGCACTCATTGAAATATCCCTGGAGTGTTTTTTATTCTATCACAAGCTGCAACCATTCTTTCTCTTAATTCCTCTACAGTGTTAATGGGATTTGTCTACACTGGTATCTTAAGATAGCCCCACAAAAAGAAATCTAAACTGTTGAGGTCTGGGGACCTTGGTGGCCAGTCTTGGGGCCCACCGTGGCCAATCTAACGATTTGGATAAACAGTTTGTGAATAATTACGAACCGCTACACTGAAATGCGCTGGTGCACCACATGCATGTACCACATATTGTTTCCTATTACTAACGGAAATTCATCAAGCAGCAAAGGCAACTGTTGTTGAAGAAAATTGAGGTAAGTCTGTCCTTCAAGTCGCCCCGGCAAGAAGAATGGGCCAATAAAGTGGTTGCCAATAATTCCGAAACATACGTTAACCGAAAATTGGTGTTGGAAATGGGTTTCGGTTACGGCATAGGGATTTTCTTCTGCCCACAAATGATTATTGTGGAAATTCTGAATGGCATTTCGAGCAAAATTAGCTTCGTCCGTGAACACAATCATTGATTCTAATTGCGGATTTTGTGTAATTTTTTGAAGGTACCACTGACAAAAGGTCACACGCCTTGGAAAATCAGTGGGAAGTAATGCCTGTACTCTTAAGATATGGTAAGGATATAACAAAAAATCCACTAAAATACTCCAAACAATTTGATGGCAAATATTTAAGTGTCTAGCAATCTTCCTCGTACTCGTTTCAGGATGTTCTTCGACTTCGTGCAGTACTGCTTCCCCAATTTCAGGTGTTTTCACACTTGGAGGTCTACCTTCAGATGTTCCTTTTCGGACAGAACCAGTTTCAACAAGACGACGATGAATATTAGAAAAGGTTCGACTCTCTGACAAAGCACGATCGGGATATCTCTGGTGATAAATCCGTCTGGCTTGCTCACCATTACCATCGGCAAGGCCATATACGTAATGCATTTCCGCCATTTCTGCATTTGAATAATTTCACCATTATTAACAAGATTGTAAAAACTAAATAATGAAAAAGATGTCACGGCGAACAGAAATGAATAACAGAGACTTGACAGATGTCAAAAGCCAGTGACACATTCCAGAGCAACTAGATATTTATTGTTAAATTGTATTATTCAATTATTACATTAATTTTCTCGGACAATAGAACGGTTTTTATTTTTTACTCAAAAATGGCGCATCGAAGGAAAGCAACTCAAGAGAGATCATTTGTTTTAAATTGAACGGGGAATTCAAAATAATTTTTATTTGGCAAAAACCCATTGGCGTACCATTTTTTTCTTAAAAAATATCGAAGTCAATACCCGTACGCACGCTACTGTTAAAGCCAAAAATTATGTACAAACTAAATAATGAAAAAGATATTACAGCGAACAGATTCGAATAACAGAGACTTGTCAGATGTCAAAAGCTAGTGAAATACTCCAGAGCAACTAGATATTTATTGCTAAATTACATTCTTCAATTATTACATTAATTTTCTCGGACAATAGAACGGTTTTTATTTTTTTACTCAAAAATGGCGCATCGAAGGAAAACAATTCAACAGAGGCCATTTGTTTTAAATTGAACGAGGAATTCAAAAATAATTTTTACTTGGAAAAAAAGCATTGGCGTACCATTTTTTCTTGAAAAATATCGAAGTCAATACCCGTACGCACGCCAGTGTTGAAGTTTAAAATTATTTCTGCATTGAAAAATAAGCAGCTTTATTAACTTTCATTATGTACTAAATATCAGTGAAATATCTGAAGTGGTTCTGAAAATATTAATTAATTTCCATTTTTTTCCTAAAACTTCAACACCCCGAGTTTTTGTAAGGAAACATTTTTGGGCAATAGTTTATAAAGCAAACTAAAACTAATTTTCCATGTAGTTTCACACCCTTAAATATTCGCATATCATTAAGGAACACCCTGTATAGGTGTTTGTCGATTTCAGTTTGGATTTGAAATAAGAATATACTATAATACTTAATCTGAACAAACAAAGAGTACATGAGATAAGTTGTTATTAGCCCATGCTCTTTTCAGTAAAAGAGTATAATTATACCATTGTTTGACAGCTTCTCTTCCAACATTTTCGATAGATCTTCTCCCGTTGAATCTCCACTTGCATTTGAAAGATCTTCTTGCTGCTGACCATTTCCTCCAGATCCCGAAGTTACCTTGATTCTTCTCGGAGTTTGTTTGTCTGGAGAAATACCTGCAACAATTTGACCAATCAATAGGCCATTTATCATCGTTTAGATTTTCATTATGACGTAACATAAGTCAAGAATAAAATGTTGGCATCTTTATTCTTTCACAATTCAATGAGCCCATGGTTCAGAGTAGTTATACCTTCAAATTTGGTTAATACCGAATATATTTACTACAAACCATATCTGCCACATATTCTATTTTTCCTCTTACCTATTTGAATTAAAATCTCTGCTATTTGCTTGGTGTTCGTGCCGCAGTTGTTGGCGACGTTTTTCTGACAGCGTTTGTGCACATTCATGGAGCACGCCTCGCATTGGAGCCCCTGTCGAAAGAGTCCGTACAACAGTGAGCCGCAGTGGTCGCAGAAAGTGAACCTTCTATAGTTGTGAACAACGAATCTGTGTGGTACATTTACATTGAAACCTGTGTTCGGTTGGCACGCCTGAAAATCAAAGACACACATTGAAAATCATAACATTTTCAACTCATATTGGCATATTTGTTTCTGTCCTCGCTTTGGTGTTTTAGAGTAGTGACAAAACAAAAAATCCGGCAACGTCGTTTGAATATATCTGTCTCTCAAAGTTTTTGATTTCTGTCAGTGAAAAAATGTACACCAAGTGTTACATATACAATTATTCTACCGCATTTACTATATTGTTCAACTATCTTGTTCACTGCCAATGAAGCTGTATTCTCAAAATTACAAGTCTTGCAAAATAAAGCTATGAGAATGATATTGAATAAAAATAAGTACACCAAAATAAAATCTATGTTGCAAGAATTGCAGTGGTTGAATATAAAAAATTTCATATTTGGTTCTTATTTTTATATTTAAAATAAAAAATCATCTTTTGCCAGAACATTTAGAACACTACATAGAATTGAATAATCATTACCACAATTATTATACAAGAGGAAATATAGATTCTAATTTATAACATAAATAGCAAATCAATATTTCAGAAAGGATTACTTGAATTTAATAAACTAAATAATGATATAAAGTCTACTTGTAATTGAAAGATATTTAAAAGAAAATTAAACGAATATTTCATGGACAATGAAATTCTTAGAGATGCAAATTGTTTTTTTTTCTCTCAATATCTGTATGTTATGTAATTGTTGTAGTTCTTTAAAAGAATGTAATTGTAGCAATCATGCTAGATAAATCTTAAACAAAAAACAAACCTCAAGGAACAGTACTGGGCTTATTATTATTTAATTTCTATTTAAATACTTGTCCAAAATTAATAGTACTGGAAAGATTTTATGCTTTGCAGACGATACCCTCATATTATATAAAGCCGATGACCCGAATACACTGAAGCAAATCACGGAAAAGGATTTTATGAGGATCATTAACTGGTTTAATCGTAAAATTGTAGCATTTTAACTTCGAAAAATTTTTTTTGCATTTACACGTTATTCAACATTTTTAATTATTTTCGAGCAAATTTCTGTTAATTATCATGGCCGAAAAACAAAAATCAATAGTCAACAGTTTAAAATATCTTGGTGTATTTATAGACTCACATTAAAGTAGGGATATCCATATTTCATGTCATCGAAAAAGTCAGAAATGTTGCCTGTAAACTCAAAATATACTCAGTGACATTAGAAGTGTTACACTCAGAAAAAATAATATCTTCAACTTGTTTTTGGCAACGTAATGACTATATTTAAAGCATGCTGTGGAAACAATGTCAATCTTTTATCTTTGTTAAAATATTATCTCTTAGTTTTTGTGAAGAAAGCAGTTTCTGAGAGCTGATTGTACAGATATTTTCAGTTATTGCCCTTTCATTTACTAGTGTTAAGCATAACATAGTGCCTCGATTTCGAAGACGTCCCAATTATCACCATGTTAGCGACTTTGACCGGGTTAGAATCGAATGTTGGTTTGTCCTATCGCGAAATTGGCCGCCGTGTTAATTGTACTGCAATGACGGTAATTCGTGTGTGTCGGGTGTGGATAGAAGACGGTACAGGAACACGAAGGAACTGGTCTATCGAGGCGTACCACATAGCGTCAAGATAGGCGCTTCCGAGACCGTTTTGCTACTACGCGACAGATCGTTTACCAATGGTTTGGAGAAGAAGGTAGATCATCCACGGTAAGTGCTTCCTCTGACTGCGGACGTTTGAACTGGAGGTGCCATATCAGACATCGATCATTTCATTTTGTCGATGCCTAGACGTATACAGGAGTGCATTCAGCTGCTGGGCCGTCCAACACATGGTTAATTTTTTACCTTAATACTTGTAAATTTTTTTTCGTAAGTATGTTATCGTTTCATTCTTGATGTAAGACTACTTCATTGCCAAAAATCAAGTTGAAGAAGTTTTTTATGCCACTGCCACTGGGTATATTTGCAAACATTCTTACAGGTAGTTATCTCCGAATATTACACTAGTTGAAACTCATATAATATTACGCATCACAGCGTCGGGTACCATCTGCAGAACATACATGTATATTTCTGATCCAGATGTAGCAAAACATGTTTTACAAGGCATTTTCCATAAACCAAGTTTATATCGGTCAAACAATTTATAGAAGCAAACGGGGAACTTTATTTCTTACACGTCACCACCTTATACCATCATTTTAATTCTTAGCAGCTTAATGTACCTAACGAAATAAGGACACTTAAATTTGGGAAACAATTTAGAGTTTCAGTTTAGTTAAGATACCTGTTAGTGAGGAAAAACATTTGGTGGAAAATTTGGATTCTTATTAGTTTTAGTTGAATGTGCGACAATCATGTCATATGAAATAAATATAATAAGCAAACAGATCAGTTAACTGTAACATAATGGAACTTAAGTTTAATAACTAGAGGAAAATGCACTACATAAATCCGAGTTTAACGCAGCTGTTACTCGGTCTTGGATTGAGTAATAGAGGAAGGACAGTTATTTTCAGTTAATTTCGGGAAATACTTCAATACTTCTAGTATAAGTCATCTACATTGTCCAATAATGAGGGATAATCTGGGAAGCTAGAAGTAGGATGCACTAGTTTGGTTGGAAGCCCTATCTAACGTTATAAATATAAATAACATTGTTAAATTTGAGGTCTGGTCTGGTATACGAAACATGACCATCTGATAATTTCCAGGCCTACCTAGGAAATTCTATTTTTTGAAATAACTAAGGTTTGGCAATATCTACGTATGGCATATTATACATAAAACAGAATTAAAAACTCTATTCATCTAAAATAAATTTAATATGGCGTCTATAAGAAAAAATAAAGTTGATGCTGGAAGAAATCTTGTAGAGGAGAAAAACTGGCAATGCAAATGAGGAATTTATTTTAAAATCCCTCCACAAATGAAGTCAGGAAAAAGTTAAAACGATTTTTGGGAAACTCGTTTGGTTCTGTATCTCTTCAGAGGTACTTTGAATTTCGATACTTTCTAGGCGGAATTTTGTTAGTTACATAAAGCAAACGGGAGTGATATCACTGATGCTGTCTCATGGGTTGTTGTTGTATGTTAGGTTATAATACAGGGTATTTCAGTTTATTGTTGCATAACTTTAAGATTCGATTGAACTTTTAAAATTAATGCATAAAGTCTATATAAACATGGGTCGAAAAATGCGTGGCTTCCGAAATACAGGGTGTTTAAATTTACTTTCTAAAATAGTTTTTTTTTAAATATTTCGAACAATATTTGATGTATAACATATACAAGGGTTTTTTGATACGACAAAACGAACTATGGGCATAGTTTTACTGTAGCCGCTAGAGGGCGCTCTCTACTGTACCTGTAGTGTATTAAAATGACTGAAAAATTTTTCTTAGTGCAATTTTTTGCTTTTTAAATAAAAAAACTGATTCTTCGCACTTTTCAACATAAAAAAGCTCTCCTGTGAGTTTTCGTTATAGTTAGCCGTTTTTGAGATATTTCGATTTTTAAGGTTCGATGCATTTTTAATTATTTATGGGAAAATAATATTTTTTTTACATTTTCGATTTGGGCATTACAAGTAATTAAGATGATCGTTTAGATTGTGTTTTTAAACACAGCAATAATTCCTAACTCCAAATAAACACAAAAAAACAGAATATTAATTTGCTTAATTTTTCAATATTATTTTTAACAAATTAAATTAATTATTTACAACTAAAATGCTATTGGATAGTTAGGACAAACATACAAAATCTAAAGTAGTTGCTCGAAATGTAAACCCAATTGTTCAATACACAATTCACATCTACGAATGATTGAACGTGGTATAGCATTATTCAAATAAGGCCTTATTTCATCACATGCATTCCTGATTCTGTCTATTAGCATATCTATTGTGGTTACGGGAGTCTGGTACACTTTTTCTTTTAGAAATCCCCACACAAAGAAATCTAATGGATTTAGGTCAGGGGATCGTGGAGGCCAGGCGACTAGTCCTCCACGGCCGATCCATCTTTCTGGATAATTTTCGTCCAGCCAGTTTCTAACTATTCTCGAATAATGAGCTGGACAACCGTCAAGGCTGGAACCAGGCCAATCTTCTTAAATCTAACATAACATCATCCCACATATTTGCATGTTCAGCCTTTAAAAATTCCAAGAAGGCCGCAGCATTTAACCTTGCAGGCAAAAGGTAGGGTCCAAATAGTCGATTACGGTAGTTACCAATCCACACGTTCACACTAAATTCATGCTGAAAATTTCTTTCCCGAACTGCATGCGGATTTTCATGCGACCAAATATGTTGATTTTTATAAAACTTACACAAAAAAAAAACAGGTATTAGAAACTAAATTTCGTGCATTCACAATTGCAAAAAACGTTTCAGGTTTCAACAGACAACAAAACTAACTGTCAACTAATTGACGTTTAACCTTATTCTGCTTTCAATTTCAAAAATATTTACAGGCTCAGCCTACTTCTAAAAATTATCGAGATACTGACTTTTTAACGTTATTTTATCATAAATAATTAAAAATGCATCGAACCTTAAAAATCTAAATATCTCAAAAACGGCTAACTATAACGAAAACTCACATGAGAGCTTTTTTATGCAGAAAAGTGCGAAGAATCAGTTTTTTTATTCAAAAAGCAAAAAATTGCACTAAGAAAAAATTTTAGGTCATTTTAATACACTACAGGTACAGTAGAGAGCGCCCTCTAGCGGCTACAGTAAAACTATGCCCATGGTTCGTTTTGTCGTACCAAAAAACTCTTGTAAACCAATTTTCACTGTTATACATCAAATATTGTTCGAAACATTTAAAAAAAAAACTATTTTAGAAAGTAAATTTAAACACCCTGTATTTCGGGAGCCACGCATTTTTCGACCCATGTTTATGCATTAATTTTAAAAGTTCTATCGAATATTAAAGTTATGCAACAATAAACTGAAACACCCTGTATAATAACATAACCTTTGACTGCTGTTTTATTGATTCGTATCGTTAGGTTAAACGAAAACTTAGCAGTGACTGTTCTTTCATGGTTTTTTCACAATTTCTTTCACATATTTTTGATAAATAATATTTTTGCATCTTCCTTATTTATTGAAGTACGGTTGCTACTGAAACGTACAAGTGAAGGTGAAGGTTCAACTTTTTTGGACTATTTTTATATTTTTAATTATCTTTAAGCAATTACGTATATATCTATCTATATTTGCATTTTGAAGACAACATACTAGTTTAGCTGTAATTAAAGGGTCGTTATTACGCTACGCCCCTGGTTCACCCAGTACCTTATACACCATCTACCATTTTTTTAGTTCTTACCTCATCCTGCATTCCAGGACATTTGGTAACGACACTCTGGTGACAACGTTTGTGCACGACACATGTGCAAACTGCAAAAAAGAGTTACAATATTATTTATTATCGATACTATACTTAAAGATCTAACCATATATCCAATAAAGGCATAGAATAGGAAAATATTAGAGAAAAGCATTATTCACACTTTGAGATACCTTACTGTGCATTTCGCTTGACAAAGCTGATTTTTTATAGGTTTTGGGCTATGGCAAAGAAAATTCAATATTCAAAGCAAGTAGTACCTCCAAAACCTAGAGATGTTTTTTTCTCGGACAGAATAATAGGTAACTGTGTATGTTTTCTAAGCATTTGTGCGAATATCCTCAAGCTCTTGAGCAGTATAATTCTACTAAGACAGGATGAAAACGGCAGCATCACGAAACAATATTCTCATTATGGTCAAACTTTCTTTTTTACTTGTAATGAAAATCAGCTTTGTTGCTGAGTTTATTCTTGAGTTAAAACAGTTATTTATATTCAAGTGCACTGAAAGTGATATTTTTATATTTGGAATTTTAGTTTTATGAACTTTCTTGGACCTTTTTTGTTCAAAACAACGATCAAGTGAAGTCAACAAACTTCATGGAATTAAATGTGCCCAAATTTCGCATCCGTATCTTGTGAAGGAATGTCTAAGCTTTAAGGCAAATGTCGTGAATTGTTACAGTGTACTTTGTGCTACTCTGTAACAAATTGAGCGTTCGTAGTTGTTTGACGTACCTGTTACCTGCATTCTGAAATAGAACAAAGTAATCCTTCTGGAACGTGTAAGCTGCGCTTTCCTTCCCGTGCTTAAAACATTGGAAAAAGAGCTCTGCCACTTGTCCTTCTCATGGTTCATTGTTTATTTTATTTGGTTATCAAAACTGCTCAAAATTGGCAGAATATATATGTCCTTCCATGATTATGTTTTCAAAGTCATGAATGGTCACAACGTATAAAAATTCAACATTTCGAAGCATGGCAACATTTCAGTTTTATTTTCAAGATTTCTTTTTCAGCATTTTTGAGTGAGGGAAAAATATTGAAAGGAATCTCATTATGGTCCGAAAAAACTGGCAGCTATCTGTTTCATGCTATTTTGAAAAAAATCGCGTAGTTTTATATTTTCAACTTGTAAAGTGAAAACAGAACAAGTTTTATGGATATTTTTGGACTTCTTGATATGATTGATTGAAAAATAACGCAGAAAACGTTGTTTACCAGTTAAAGAGCTTGAAAACAGCATAATTAAAAGTATTGGAAGTTGGCTCATTTCATTTTCCTGTTTTGAAGTAAAATACGTTTCTTTCCATATATTTTATGACCTATCCCACAATATAAAAGTATCGGGTGGGTCAATAATAATTTTTTAAACGTTTTCAAAAATCTTAAATAAAACGAAATGATTTTTTTATTTTGATCGGAAAGTTCATAACAAATCCTACACAATGGTTAAAACCACAGATCAATATATTCGTTATAGAGACATAATAAGAAATAGGCTTAAATTACAGTTTTCATGTACTACTGGATAAGAAGGAAGATTTATGCTATGAATAGTCGTGTAAAATGTACCAATATGACACGAATTTAAGATATTTTACTCTAAAATTTATTTTTATTTAAATAATAAATATACTATACAGGGTGTCCCGAAAAAGTGTGCAATATTCTACCAGCGGTTTCTAGAGCTTAAAATAGGAAGAAAAGTTTATATAAACATAGGTCGACAAACGTCCCCTAAGGGCGCTACGGTCTTTTAAAGGGGCTTCCTGAAGATGGTTTTTCCTTAATATTTCCGAAACGTGTTGAGATAAAGACATAACATTTGGTATTCTAGCCTAGTTTTTTATGCTGGATTTAAAAATATTTTAGACAGTTTTGTTTGGAAGCGTATGTAACAGGAACGGACTCAGGTTATTTTAACCCCAAAAGTTTTGAAATTCAATTTTAGAATTTGAAAATTTAGGGTTTTCGACATAAAAAAGGTACTCTTATTGAATATCGATAAATTGTGCCATTTTTGAATAAAATCAAACTAAAAAATTTGTCACATGATAGGAGATGTACTGGGAATTTAAATGAATTATTGATTATACATAGTTAGCCATGACTGCAAACAAAAGTTGTTTTGATTTGTTATGACTTATTTTGACGTTAAGTTGACATTGTTAGCAGTGTAAAATTACTAGATTAAAATCAAAATTTTTATTAAATCGATTTAAAATGCTAAGATTTACTGACATGCATTTTGTGTACCGGTTTTGCAATGGTAGTTCATTGGCATTGTACCTGGACGTCGAATGTTTACTGATATTCACCGGAATTTGTCAAACCATGGAAGTTTTCAGCGCATGCAGGGCTCAGGAAGGCCACTGGGAAATCATCGTATGGATATTGCTTTAAATATGTTTGAAAATAATCCGCAAATAAGCAAACGAAATGTTTCAGAAAATATGGATATACCTCGATCAATAGTAAGAAAAATTTATGAATACACCTATTTGATAGTTATCCTAAAAATAATAATTTTAGATAGGAAGAATGACAAGAATGCAAAGATTACATCCTTATCATTTTAAACGGGTGCAGCATTTAACGGAGGCAGATTTTTTACCACGAATCGAGTTTTGCCAGTGAATATTAGCAAATGAAAACACTATTCCTCGAATATTATGGTCGGATGAGTCAATATTTACTAGGAATTGTGCTTTTAATTTCCATAACATGCATCACTGGTCAGATGAAAATCCAAAAGTTGTTCGCCGTACAAATTTTCAACACATATTTTCATTGAACTTATGGGCAGGAGTAATTGGGGATCAAGTAATTGGGCCTATTGTACTTCCCAATCGTCTTAATTCAGAGGTGTATCTGAACTTTCTTCAGAATGAGCTCATGGAAATACCATTGGATGTGCGCCAGCAGTTTCAAGAAAATATGTTTTTTCAACATGATGGCGCCCCTGCACATTTTGGACGCAATGTTCGAAATTGGTTGAATGTCAATTTTCCAGACAGGTGGTTAGGCCGAGGAGGTCCTATAACGTGGCCGCCACGTTCACCTGACCTAAATCCATTGGATTTCTACTTTCGGGGGTCATTAAAAGACCTAGTTTACTCGACTGAAGTAAATACTCAAGAAGATTTACTTCAAAGAATCCATCAGGCTGCAAATGAAATAAAAAGAAAAAGGTATTCTACTTTTCGGGCTACGTAATCATTAGTTCGTCGAGCGAGACTCTGTATCCAACAAAATGGGAATTTATTTGAACACTTATTGTAAAGCTAGTTTTAATTATATCCAACTGTATGTCTTCTTTTTTAAACAAATTTCAATTTCGTTCGTAGAAAAAATTTATTTCTTTTGTTTTTGCCTAAATGTTAGCTGTTGCAATAGAAATATGTATTTATGTAATATTTACCAATTATTAAATTAGTTTTTTCGTTGCCATGGCTAATTATTTAACAATTCATTTAAATTCGCAGTACATTTCCTATCATGTGACAAATTTTCTAGTTTGATTTTATTCAAAAAAGGCACAATTTATTGATATTGAATAAGAGTACCTTTTTTATGTAGAAAAGCCTAAATATTCAAATTCTAAAATTGAATTTCAAAAATAGAATCACACAATAATTTTGGGGCTAAAATAACCTGAGTACGTCCCTGTTACATACGCTTCCAAACAAAACTGTCTAAAATTGTTAATAGTTTTAAATCCAGCATAAAAAACTAGGCTAGAATACCAAATTGTATGTCTTTATCTCAACACGTTTCGGAAATATTAAGGAAAAACCATCCTCAGGGGAGCCCCTTTAAAAGACCGTAGCGCCCTTAGGGGACGTTTGTCGACCTATGTTTATATCAACTTTTCTTCCTATTTTAAGCTCTAGAAACCGCTGGTAGAATATTGCACACTTTTTTCGGGACACCCTGTATATATAATAAAATAAACTATAGCATTTTGATGATTAGTTGCCGAGTTATAAGCGACTCAATGTAGAAAGACGCTCAACTTTGACAGCCTACCAGTTCGCCATTTTGAAAGATGGTGATTTTAAATTCTAGAGTTATCAAGTATTCATAAAGTTCTTCAAAATGAGTTTTCACACGAAACCACATTCCATTTGAAGAAACGCCCCAACAAAAAGGCCTAGCCACTATATTGAGACCTTCATTTGCCTTCTTAACGCTAAAATACAGTATTCATGTATCAATTTCAATATTGCGAATATCGGCTTTCTGACCTGCCCCATTCTAAAAATTGGTAGGGGACCTTTTTGGAAGGCTCTGTATATCTATCTCTCCATGCGATATGAAATTACCATTGAGGCTTTAAGAATATGTTTAAATGTTTGAGGCTAGCATGTATGACTTTCAAAACCCATAAGAAAATGTCTCATGATCGATATCGAAATCGATATTTAATCGCAAATCGAGCAAGGAAAAAAGATAAAGACGATACAGTCCGTAACTGGACCTTGAACCATACTTTTCTGTAACGAAACCTCACGTCACGACGAAGTCATAGTTCGCCTTGAAGTTGTCAATTTTGTTCAGAACTTCAGTATTTTGTACCGATCACGAAGGAGACGCCCTTCGAATGCACAGTATGTACTGTGATGGCACTTGACGACTCTGAATATGTACAATATTATTATTAAGCCTCGAAAATGGATCTTTTTGTGCATCTTTTGAAACCATGTTATTTTTACTCTAAAAACGACACTCTTTTAAATAATAGTTGCTATACTATAACTATCTAAAACTGTAATGACTCATCGATGTTCACGTGAACATCACTTAACTACCAGTAGTCGGCTGTTCATAGGCGGGGTATGAATGTTTAACATGGGTGAACTAGATTTGTCACATGCTTAATAAAGAGTGGTTTGAAACATATTTTAAGTCAAAAATTTGGGAATTACCTTTATTCATCGTCGCTTCCACTTACACATGTCAGTAATAAACTGTCGCTATCGCTTTCCTCGTTGAAATTGACTATAACTGGCTCTATGATGGTGTCGATGTGGTGGTCAAGCTGCCACATTTTTGTTTCTTCCTTCACAACAAGACGGATAGCATTCTGCCAAGCTTCGGGCGTTACTAGCTGTATGGAAGTCTCAAGTAAAATCTTAACGTCTGGTAATTTGAAGGTTGTGTTATGGCGTGCAATATAACCCTTCACTTGAGCCCAGGGGTTCAGTTCACAGTGGTAGGGCGGTAACCGCAGCACAGTGACACCACATTGACGGGCCATCTCATCAGTCACGTAACTAATGTTCGCAGGTTTGTGCTGTTTAATTTTTTCATACAATTCCGCTTTCACACATGAATCGTCAAACGGGATTCCTTTTTCGCGCAACCATTGCTGCATGTCCCTTTTTCGAGATCCCACAGTCGGTACACGTTCGGCTCGACGACTATGGTAGGAAGCATTATCCATGACGATCACAGAGTTGGGCTCAACTCGCTGAAGCACCCCTTGAAACCAGCTCTCGAAGCAGCTGGCATTCATTTCGTCATGGTAATCACCTCCTTTCTTAGAGACGAAAATCAAGTCGCACTCTTCTAAAAAGCCACTATCGCTACCAATATGAGTTACGATCAATCTTTGACCTTTCCCTGACGGTCCACGAAGACCTGTTGACAAACCTTCAATGCTTGCTTGTCGGTTACTCACTACGTTTTTGTCTATCCAGGTTTTTTTAACTGTGTCACCTGCATTTACCCATGTCTCGTCCAAATAATAGATTTTTCTGCTTTGTCGCCTATATTCAATCATTTCGCGTAGGTATTTTCGACGCCAGGCGACTATTTCAGGTCTCTCTATCAATACTGACTTCCGATTACGCGTTTCGTAACGAAAATTAATTTCGTGCAGGGATTTCCTCATTACCTCGACGCTCATTTGGGGTATAATTTCATTTTCCATGATCGCTGCATGTACAGCCTTGAGGGTTGGTATCTCATTCCTAAAGAAGAATGAATGCACGGTTCGCCTTAACGCCATTTTGCTATCGTTATCCAATTTAACGGCCTCTCGTCCCTTCAAATTAAACTTTGGATCAGTAGTAGCTCCAGTTTTCTTCTTTTCATGCACCACCCTGCGAATGGTCCACTCTGGAACGCCTGTCATACTTGCACAACGCGCGAGTGCATCTCCCTGCGACATAGTTCTGTTCAGATAATTGAACACGTTGAGCACGATTTCTTTCGCGTCCCTCTTCAGTGCTTTACGAAGCCGTCTACTTGTTCCCTGGCTTTCAGTACTTCCACTCGTGCCATTTGTACTCTCCATGGTTAAGTATAACCAAAACAGTAACCACAGAAACCACAACAATAACAATCACACAACAATTCTTATAAAAACACACAATATGCGATCGCTCAACGAAACACGTTCCAATGCGTTGCCGACGCCTATGAGTCTGCCGGTCGAGGCGCGTCTTTGATTTCATTGGTTCTACCGGCGGAGAACAATCAGTCATTATTTCCATCTCTGTCTGTGCTGTTGACCACCGCAAAGCCACAGAAACGACATATGTCGTACGCTATACGGCTGTACTGGAAGGAAGCCGGGATCGAGCTCTGATCACGTGTTGATCACGCGTATGAGTCATTACAGTTTTAAATAGTTGTAGTATATGTATCTTTTTTGTTTAGGATGAGAGACAGTAAAACTGATAAGAGATGAAAAGTTCATCTTTAGCGGTTACTTTTTTCAAAATGGACTACTTTCTGCATGTGCGATAAGATCTTTCTTATTCTGGGGCCCATTACATAGGTAATTATGAGAAAAATATAGCGAGCATATTTGTCTGGCATTATTGCTGTTGTCGCCCTGTCTAATTATGAAGTGCTTTTTTGTAAGAGCTAGCCACAACAACAAAACCGTTATTGCCATTTGCTGAATACATGTTAATAATAATAACACGTACAGTAAGATATCTCAAACATAATTTAAAGTATATAAAGGAAATAATAGATAAAAGATAAACTTACAAAACAAGTTAAAAAGCTATATATTGTACAGCCATGCCAGTGGTGCTGCAAATTAAAAAATAAAATCAGTTAAAGGATAAAAACCCAACAAAAAAACAATGACGAAGCATGCAAGAAAGGACGGTAGATCTGACGTCAACACCGACACCGAGTAACATAAAAAAAGGTACATCAAATTTAGGCGAAATCCGTCTCCAACACTGCGTGTGGATCAAATTACGTATACATATTCCTTCGACATCATATGAATTAGATAGATAATTTTATTAATTTGTAACGTATCAATAAAAATTCCATTAATTCGTCGGAGCTATTCTTGAAACTTTCCACAGTTGATAATGGTATGTAAGCTAAAACTTAAGGCAACCCATTAAAAGTTTATTCAAACCTGTATAATCATAGGAATCGCAGACTCTGTAGCATAAATTATGATGGAATAATATCGTTATGTTCGAACTTCAATACTAATACTTTATTCAAGCTGAGATGCAATGCTAAAATACACCAAAGTAGAACTTGAACTTTGTCAGACAATAATATTTTACATTTTTTAAAATACTTAACGCTAATCCCACGGAACCGACATCTTATACTCTAAATTTAGATGCTTTATGGGCATAGTCACAACCATCACCACCAGGTGGCTTTCGTTGGCATGGTGATGGAGAAATTGAAAAATTCGATTGCATATCATTATCCAATCTTCAAATAAAGGTTATGCACTGGAGGTTGAATTGTTGATTCTACTCGAATTACATCAGCGGTTTAACGATTTTTCTATGTGCCCCGAAATTATCACACCACCTTGCAACAATTCACCAAAATATGTTTTTAAGTTAGAAAAAATTCAGAGAAGCTTGAAATTTTCCAGCATTGTAGGTTGAAGCCGTATATTGATTTTGTTACTAAAATCAGATGCGCTTCTCGGAATTAATTTTTAATTAAATTTATTGTTTATAAATTACCCACAAATCACTGGAAAATGTCGACAAAGTCAGGATATAAAATTATGTAGCCATTGGAGCTAACAAATATATATACATATATACATATATATATATATACAGGGTGTCCCAGAAGTCGACGTCAAGCCGAAAGCGGGTGATAGGCAAAGTCATAACAGCTATCACAAAAATATTTAAAAAAAAATTATGTATGTATTCAGAAAATGTATTGGAGGACGTGCCACTGAGTATTTACAGGGACATGTGGTTTCAGCATGATGGCTGCCCAGCGCACTATGCACTCTCAGTGAGAGAGTATCTCGATCAAAACTTTCCAGGCAGATGGATAGGGCGGTCTGGTACAATACCGTCGCCAGCCCGGTCACCAGATTTGAATCCGTTAGATTTTTTTTACTGGGGAACTGTAAAAGAAAAAGTGTATTTCAAGCCGATTCAAAATGTAGCTGAGCTACGGCAAAGACTATTGGAAGCAGCTGAGTTTGTTAATAACCGTGGATTCGCTCGTTTAATAACCCGATCTTTTTTAAGAAGATGTCGATCGTGTACTGCGGCTGAAGGAAAACAGTTTGAGCATTTGCTGTAAAGGTAAATCATCATCAGCAGCATTTTGACGCCCACTGTTGTGTAAACAGTTATCCTAAAGGGTCCTTGTGCGTTTTCATAATCGCTGTTTAATTAGGAAATTTTGAAAAATTTTCATCAGTTTTTCTTCAAATAAAAATTGTGCATAAGTTAACGAGTAATCTTCTAAGTGTTATACCATTTTGGAATCCTTATTAAATGCGCCAACTTTTAAGGTTACTTGCCAAACTCTCGTAGTACATTTTTTACAGTACAGCCAGTTAAAGTTGAGCAAAGTTTTACTTTGGCATACTTGATTGGGAAATAAGTGGCAATTTTTCCTGAACGAGAAAAGTTGGCAGTAAGGTTGAGACACCACTTTGAAGATGCATTATTCATCATTACATTGTAAAAATAAAATCCAAAAAAAGTTAATATTTGTAGTAACAGGAGTTGACAGACTGCCGTAGGGTGTGAACTTTCTATATTTTTTTCAAAGACCTATAATTTTCAAAACACATACATAACATTTTTTAAAATATTTTTGTGATAGCTGTTATGACTTTGCCTATCACCCGGTTTCGGCTTGACGTCGACTTCTGGGACACCCTGTATATACATATATATATATATATATATATATATATATATAAACGCCTAATTTTAAATAAAACCTTTCAAAATGATTTGCCATTTAATAATAAAATAGATTGGTAATATCTGAGCTCTTTGTAAGGCACATATCATATTTACAGTTGTGTTCAAGGCCCCACCGTGCCACCATTACAATATCTGAGTAGGAACTGACTTACATATGCTCTAACTTAATTTTCAAGAATTGCTAACTAATGCCAACGAACTTTACCAAACGTTTTATAAATGCTTATGTACAGGGCAATAATTTATATGGATCGAACACCAGTATAACAATATGAATCCGTACATACATTAATAAAGTAACTAACATCACCTTAATTGATGTACCTTTCAAGTGATAAAAGCTAAGCGCTATATGTACACTAAACACCAATGCATGCTCATGACAAATTCATACCTTGACATTGATAGCCTTGCTTGCCCAAACCCCTGAAAAACAAAACCACCGTCTGTGTTAGCTACACCCTCACTTTCTTTGTCCAGTTCACGAAATAATATTTTCCATCTGATAAATATTAACATTTTGTAAATTACATTACGCTATATTAATATGTACAGAATTATCTGATCTTGTATACTAAGTGACATATAAATCCAAACACCCAGTTTAAATGGTTTTATTTTAATAAAATTTTGTATAAGTACTTAATGAAGCATAATAAGTAAATGATGAAAATTTCAAAATGATTGCACTGCTTTAAAGCCCTTTGACCTTTAATAATGTGTGGATGCACCCTGATGTGCTACACATTCTCCAACGCGCCTAGGCATGCTTCTGATCAGGTGGTCAATGTCCTCCTGTGGTATCTCATTCCAGGCAACCACCAACTCCTCTCGAAGTGCTTCTAGAGTCTGAAGAGGACGTTGCAAATTGAGCAATCTCCTACCCATCATATCCCACACGTGCTCAATTGGGGATAAGTCGGGAGATCTTGGTGGCCATGGCAACAATGTGACATCATTATGTTGAAAGAAGTCTATTGTGACTCTTGCAACATGTGGTCGGGCATTATTTTGTTGGAAAGTTGGATCTGCCAGGGTGTCAAGATAGGGCAAAAGATGGGGTTCTAGAACTTCGTGGATATAACGCTGCGCGTTCATGTTACCTCTGATGAAGATTAAAGGTGACCTGGAACCATAAGCTATAGCACCCCAAACCATAACTCCAACAGTGTGATGAACATGTCTTTCAACAAAAAACTGTGGATTCCTTCCTTCACCACGTCGCCTTCTAACCCTGGCACGACCATCGTGCATGCCTAAACAAAATCGAGACTCCTCACTGTTCCATTCCTGATCCCAGAGTGACCGTTGTCTGCACCACTCAAGGCGATTACGTCGGTGTTCTCGAGTTAAAGGGAGGACCCAGTGTGGCCGGTATGAAAACAAGCCAAAACTTCTCATTCGTCGGTAAACACTTCGCATGCCAATAGGTTTTCCGTGTTCTGCAAACCATTCATTTGCAATGGGACCTAGTAGTGGAGAAACGGTCCCTTAAGGCCAATAATCTTAGGCGGCGATCTTCACGGTCTGTTGTTCTACGGCGGCGTCCAGTGCCCCTTGCTCTTTGCGTACGGCCTTATCGAAGCCATGCCTGACAACACCTAACCACAGTGTCTACACTTCTTTGCACTCTAACTGCAATTGCCCGAAAAGAAAGTCCAGCTTCCCGAAGTCCCACTATACGGCCCCTATCAATTTCACTAAGTTGACGAAATCGTACAGGTCTCCGTACTCTAGGCATCGTAACCGATCGTAAAGGATGTCAAGAACCAAAATCCGCCAACGTGATTCTTTACTGCGGCTGAAATATTCATTTTTAGAGCGTTAGTGAACCGGAATGTCCAACTGATAAGGCTGAAAATTTTTTCACTTGTTATTTACAGTAAGATAAATACATTCACCAACTTTTATTAAAATAAAACCATTTAAAGTGGGTGTTCGGATTTATATGTCACTTAGTATATTATATTAAGTCGTATCTTGAATGAGATATTGCAATAAAGATAATAATGCACTGAGTAATTTTGGACAAGTTTCTCCAATTTAACTCCGCGCCGTCCTTATATTTTACAAACATCAAAATCCTTGGCCTATTCACTGGTCTGCAGATTTAAAAATGAGTCATAATTATCCACCGTTTTTTGGATGCATTTTTTTCTGTGATTATTGATCAGCTTTCCTAATGATCTATTTTCACACAAAAAGGATGAGGTTATAAGTTTTTATTAAATCCTATTAAAAAAAAATATGATTTATTTTGGGATTGATCAACATATGACGTACAAGACGATGCCCAGCTGTATTTGGACGTTCTCTTACAATTTCTAACGTCACAGCGATGTTGTTTATTGTTAAACGGGGCACCATTCTTCCAAGGAAAGATCACACCTCAACCCCTCTCGTCACTATTCGTCAGAGTTCGTATTTTACGAATTTCTCAACGACGGAAAAGGAAATCCCATCATATACAGGGTGCACCACCTACTAAATATCAGTGAAATATCTGAAGCGGTTCCGAGAATATTAATTAACTTCCATTTTTTTCCTAAAACTTCAACACCGCGAGTTTTTGTAAAGAAACCATAGTTTATAAAGCAAACTAACATTCATTTTTCATTTAGATTGACATCCTTAAATATTCGCATATCATTAAGGAATACCCTGTTTACACCTGAAGTCATCAGTCAACAGGTATACGGTGAGGAGTAAATTTGGCGGGGGTTCTGTATGTACGAGAGAGAAGCGCGGGAAGTGTGTAAGGTACATATGTTAGAAAGAGATAGATACCGGCTGGATAGCGAAGCTCATCGACACGTTGCCTAGCAACGGTGACGCAGAAGGTCGTGCAATCTGCAGCGTTGCCAATATAATACACCAGTTCCTTGAATTAAGATGCATGTTGAAAATACGCCTAATAACACTGACCAACACAGGATTTGTGACATGAGTTATAAGATCGATGCCTCGAGATCGCTTATTAAAAAGTTTATTTTCGAAAATACAAAACTCAAAATTGTAGTTTTACAAAATTATTACAATGTTATTATGATGTTAACAGTACAAAGGCTTAAATCTGACTGACTCTAAAATGTGTTGAGAATATTAAAGTATACTCTAGGTCTTCTAGGAAATTAGTAGCATCGTCGGCAGTATTCCTGGCATATCAGCAGGAACGGCTGATGTAAATCATGCCCACTTTTGGATGTATCTAATGTATTTTGAAACCCTTAAATCAAATCTAAAAACAGAATGTTTCTATCACCCACAGATATTTTATGAATTACAATACGTAACATCTCATATTGCTGCATTTCTCGGCGTTTATGCGATGCCGCCATATATAATGTTAAGACCTGTCTATTCCTGTTTATTATATGCGAGCTCTATGTTTAGAGAGCATTATTCCGTTTATTAATGGACTAATAGCAGCCGAGTCAGTTACGTTTTCTGTGTTGAAGAGTACTGAGATGTTCTGAGTACTGTTAATTTTTGTTTAAACGGTGTGTTGTTTTTAGTTTAGACTATCTTTATGGATAATGCCTAGAAATGGTGTAAATAGTGCGAACAGTTTTTGTTATGTGTGCGGAGAGCTAACTTTTAAATCCCAAAAACGTACTTTTACTCCCCTTGTGTTGAAAGCATAGGAACTTTATTTTGGTATTAAAGTTGGCGACCAAGATAAACTATGGGCCCCTCATATATGTTGTAAGACTTGTGTAACGTTGTTAACAGATTGGTTAAGAGGCGACAATCGTAAAATGCCCTTTGCGGTACCAATGGTTTGAAGAGAACCGAGAGACTATACTACTGATTGCTATTTTTGCCTCACAAATATAATAATAATAATAATAATAATAATAGCCTTTATTTAACCTGGCGGGTGTCAGCTAAAAGCTGTTTTTCATACCAACCAGGGCCAAACAAAATTATAATACAAAATCTGGGAGACATAAACATTGTTGAGTAACAATAATGAAAAATCTATTATGCCAAGAATAGGCATTTTTTTAATTTAAAGAAAAAATCATATATATTCACAGTTACACCATTACATAAGTTAAAAACTAAATAATATAAGGTATTATGACATATTCTCAAAAACAGTTTTTTTTACTTTTGACCTAAAAAGTGGAACAGATAAAACTTTAAAGCTGACAGGGAGCATATTATAGCGATTGGGTGCAACAAAAGAGAAACTCTTAGTAAATAGGGTGGTTCTGTGATGGGGCGTGTTAAGGGTGTAACCAACGAAACGGAGGTTGGCTGCATGATGCTGACTTCTCAAGGATAACTTATTATTTAAGTATATAGGGTATTTGGTCAATAAAATGCTATGAACCAAACATAAAATGTGAACCAACCACCTCTGCCTCATCGTCAACCAATTCACTTCTTGAATAAATGGAGATACTCGCTCCCTTCTTCGGATTCCAACAGAATATCTAATACAGCTGTTCTGCACTTTCTGAAGTCTGTAAGCTTCGGCTTCAGTCAAACAAGGACCAAACACGGAACTTCCATATTCTAACTTACTTAAAATGAGTGAATCGCAAAGCTTAATTTTAGTATCTTGAGCCAACACGTGCTTAAAGCTGTAGATGCTTTTTAGTTTAGCAAAAGAGCTCTGTACAACCTTAGAAATATGATCATGAAAAGTTAAGTGCTCATCAAAGATTATTCCTAAGTTTAATACCGATATTTTGTGTGTGAGCTCTTCACTATTGAGGCATAGCTTTATAGCATCTCCACTGAACTCGTTCTTCTTAGAGCGGAAGGTAATTATGGCCGATTTGCTACAGTTTATGTGTAACCCGTGGTATCTAAACCAATCACAAACGCCGCGTAAATCTACTGCTAGTTTTTCGTTAGCATCAACACATGAGGAGGGATCATAGGATAGATAAAGCTGGGTATCATCAGCATAAGAATGTAAAGCGCGATGTTTGACCGACCGATCCAAGTCCGACACGTATAAAGTAAATAAGATTGGTCCTAAAATGGAACCTTGCGGCACCCCCTTTACAATGACCCGATTGTCAGAATAGTCACTGCCTATTTTAACTTGTTGAAGTCGATCTGATAGGTAATTGTCAAACCATGTAATCGAATTCTCAGAAAAACCAAGAAAGTGCAGCTTAGCCAATAACATTTTGTGGTTTAAACAGTCAAATGCCTTTCTTAAAGCCAGCAGAACAGTTGTAGTTACGCAGGAATTATCTATAGCTCTCAAATGTCAACTAATGCAGTCACAGTACTATGATTTTTTCTAAATCCCGACTGTGTATTTGGAATTAAGCTGTATTTATTGATGTGTGTTAGCATTTGCTCGTAAACGATCTTTTCTAGAATTTTTGACAAGAGTGAAAGTATGCTTATAGGCCTGAAATCGCAAGGCAATTGGGGATTATCGATTTTACCAACGGGAA